CCAGCCCGAGCCTACTCGTCAGAGCCCACCTCGCTAGGCGACACGCTCAGCTGTGGCCACGGCTACACTCAAGCCTCAGCCTTGGGTGCGATGCTGCAGTCATCTGCGAAGCGTTGAGAAGCGTCTCCCGCAACACATCGTAAGTGTTGGAGCTGTTGGAGCTTGCCACAAACCCTTCGTTTCTCCAGGATCCGGCTGCGTTTGACACCTACTGCCCTGCAACCACATGTTCCTTGCTCGCAAAGTGATGTGTCAAGAACTTGTCCGGCGTTCGAAACATCCGAGAAGCGAAAGACCCCCGAAGCCGCAGGCGACATCAACCGTGACCGAGACCTTTGCTGCGAGCCAGCGCCTTTGTGGCCGGACTGCAGCCCGCAAAGGGATCCATGCCTGGAGTGTTGGCCCGTAGGGTAGAGGCTTTGGATTGTGCGAAAGTCCGCATCTGACATCAGCGAAACCTTCAGCACCCTAACGGATGATCCTTCCTCAGAGAACGAACGGTTATTGGTTATTCGTTCACACATGTTCTCAAGCATAGAGCTGTGCACCACACCCTGTGGGCAGCGGTGACCTGAAGATCAGACCAAGCACAAGACTCTGCATCACGTCAGGTGCGCTACTGCCTATGCGTGCCCCCATGGCTTCACTGCCTGGCCAGATGCCCGACTGCAGTCTTTCAGAGAGCGTCGGACCGTAGGAGTCCTCTGCCCGCATTCGCTTGCCCAGGACACCTACTGCGACGGCATCACCTGCGACGTGGATCGCGTGACTAGCAACAAATATGTCGCAGGGTTTGGGAACGTCCAGTCACCCAGCAGTTCTTCTGAGGACCGGGACCTCTGCTGCCGCCCAGCGATGCCCTGCTCGGCCCCATGACAGGAAATCAGGCATCAGAACCTGGCCCTGCCTTCTGTTCACGTGATTCTCGAGTATTCTTGGTTCGGTGCGTCTCCTCCCTGAAGAAGGTCGAAGGTTCCCAGTTGCATCGAGTCCGGAACATGACACCCACACGATGTAGGAATTTGGGTAGAGGAGGTTGCCCCACGATGTTCTTGGGACCGAGGCTGTCACGTGTCCACTGAACTACGTGCCTTGGACTGCCTTGGCTTCCATGCAGGCTCTTCGAGCGAGTTGCCGATGGCAACTTCGGTCTGTCAGCCCCTCTTCCTGAGGTCCTTCGGTATGACACCTACTGCCAGGGACCTCCGGCAGTGAGTTGCAGAGGGATGGTTAGACGGCAGCTGGCAGCTGGCAGTCGGGTTCTGTGACTTAGAGTTCGTTTGCTTTACGCACTCTGCAAGCCATCGCGCCCATCCCAGGAACAACCTGCATAGAATCACGGGACCTTTTCTGGTGCTGCGAGCGTGGTATGGCCTCTTGCCCCAACTGGACGGCGCTCTTTTGGGTCCTGCAGACGTGGCCCGACAATCCTCCGCTTCGAAGCCCCCGTGCGCAGGCTCTGTCCTACTACAGGTTCCTGCCACTCGAGCTCCGCCAGATTGGATCCACCGCCACTCGCTCAGGGAATCGACCTTCAGCAGCCGAGAGTTCGGCATTCGGGCTGTGCGCAGGCTGAGTCTTCAATGACTTTGCCGGTTTCGGTTTCTCTACCTTGTGCTCTGTAACATCTCAACCAAAGTTCTGCCCCGCTCAGCGCAGCGTGTTCGCAAGGGTTCCGCTGGGTAGGGGATCTGTTGCTGCACTCTGAAGCCTGGTCTGCCGCACGGCCATGGCGAGGTGGTTCAGATGTCGGATTTCTTCTTGTACAACCAACAGGCCACAGCGGGTGTCCGTGCTGTGGCAAAGCAAAGGGGGAGTAGCGGATCTCTACGGCTCCACCACAGTAGGTTCGGGAATGCAGGCGAAGCCGCTCCCAACCCTAGCTCCCGGCCGCAGGGCCCTAGCTGAGAAGCAGCAAGCTCTTTTGCGATCTCAAGCGGTGGCTGGGCGCACTGGCAGGTGCTGGTCGACGGCTACGACTCGGCGCTGCTTGGCCAAGAGGAAGTCTGTTTTGCTGGCACGTGGGCTTCTGAAACCGGTTGTCCTTTTGTTGTCTGGTAGCTGCTCCTAGTTTGTACTCTACGCCGTGTGTTCAGCACTGCACGGGGAGTTGACCGATAAGTCAGAGATGGTACCTCGAATGCTGTTCCGACCAGGGTCTTCTACTGCGATCCGTGCGACACGCCGGTGAACCTTCGAGAGGACAGTGGCCATGTATTCCTGATCAGGTGCCTGATCCACGGTGGGTCAAGGTCTCAAAATTGTGAGCTTCTTCAACCACTGGATACATCCTTGGAGCAGGAACAGCATTTTCGTATTTTTCGTCCTTCGCAGGAATATCTTCGATGTCTACAGAAAGTGACCGAATACTGTACCTCGTGGAAGCTGCAAGGACATGAGGTGGTGAAGAGACATGGAATGTGTATTGAGAAGCTGCACCTGAATCTGCAGAAACCTTGGTTAAGTGAGCGGGCATCGTCTTGCAATGCCGAGCAACAGCCAGAAGGCCTGTTCAGTCGCTGACCTTTCGAAAGCTTCGGCCCCGCAAGTGTTCCGTCAAGACCCGGCCTGATTGAGGGTTTTCGAGCACGGTGCTCAGCGCAACGAGAGTTGAACTAGTATGGTCGCTTGCAAGGCCAGAGGTTAAAGCTGAGGTGCCCGACGGCCCGATGTCCCTCGCAGCCTTGGTAGGAACCTTACAACCTTGGAGACGACAATGCGGAAACGAAGTGGCTAGACTACTCGTCGAACGCTTTCTTCGTGAGGCGGGCAGTCGCCACAAGCCTTGACTGACGTCTCCGCAGTTCTGTACTTGTACCAGTTGCAGTCGGAGTTGTTAAGCGCAGTTTTCTGCAGGGCCTTGAGAAGTTGCAGCAGCTGAAACGGCCGGGTGTTGGTGAAGCTTGTGCCATCCTGATTAATGCAGACCGACCTATTCCTGCAGGCTGCCGGTTGCACAGCCAGCTTTTAGTTACAGCTTCGTGACCGGTAACGACGAGCCGCAGCGAGATCCGGTGCGCTGGCAGCTCTGGGGTGCCTTGGTGGCTTTTGTTCTCTCTCGTTTGCGTGCCTAAGAGCATTCTCGGTAGTGGAGAACAAGCTCTCCCCGCATGTATGTCAATTGCGCGCCATGGGTGGGGTTTCAGAATATGATTGGCACAAGCATGGTTTCCTCCGGCACAATCCCCTGTGAGTCGTGCCAAGGCTCGCCCAATAACATTGACTGGGTCATTCTCCACGAGGTCAACGATCGCAACGTTGGACTTTCCATCGTACCCGTGGATTCGCGGAAGCGATTGTTCCAAGAGTCCTGGGTTGAGCATCTTCAACCAAAGCTTATCATGAGAACTGGAGTTTGATCGAGCTTCAAGTCTTGTCAGTTGTGTATTGACCACGGTCTCAGTGAATTGCCGCAACAATGCTCAACCCTGGAAATTTTGCGACCGTCCCCTCACTGCAGAATGGCAGCAACCATGCTAACAAGATCGGCATGAGGCAATCATGTACGGCTGTTCCGGGACCGGTCCTTTTGTCAGAAAGTCGCTCCAGACATCCAACATCCCAATCTGAGGATCGGAAAACCACGACTGGCCAAGTCCAAGTGGATGTGCCCTGCTATTCTCCGACGGGGAGCTACATCGACAACTCGGCTGCTGGGATCCATCTAGCTGTGCTTGGAGTTCTTTTCTTGCCTCGCAGCTGTAAGGCTTCCTTAGCCTTAGGGACCTCTTGAAATCTTACACCTGCAGGCTACATAGATCGAAGACAGACTGATCTGATTAGCTCTCGTTTTTTGCATCTGTTCCCTTGTTGTACGATCTGGACGGGATGTAGACTGCAGCAGGGTAAACGTGACAAACCCTGCCTCTGACGTTCAAGCTTCAGACCATGACGGTGGGCTTGATCACCGCAATCCTTGAGGTTGCTAGTCATTCAGCAAGGGCCCTGCGCGAGCATCAATACTTCAATCTCATTTAGCCCATATCCACTGATACCTAGATGATCCGAGACAACACGTCGACTGGCTGGTTCTGCGCAGCAGCTTCAGGCCAACATCACCTGCCAGGAGGGGGACCTCATCCAACATGGATACAACTGCACTCCTGCTTGCTTGCCGGGCTTCACGGCACCCTCGCTGCACGGGAGTGTGTTTCGCTGGATCGGCAGAGGGTTACGTGTGCGGAACAGTTCCTGACCCTTGGTCAAGAGCACCCAAGCACCGTTAGGCAGGCCTGAGCACCAGCAGTTTTATGTGCTTTGCTCCCACGATATCTCCGCAAGCAAAAAGCCCGGAAATCCAGGCGGATGTGGATCAAATCACGTGTCTTGATGGGGAGCTCTCGCCCATCACGTTCGCGTGCGACGCGGACGCGGGCAATGGAACCGTCTGATACTGCGGGGTCGGGTCGCAGAAGTTGCTGTAAAACGCAAATTTGGGGTTCACAGCTGCAGTTCTGGAGGTTTATTTGCTGTACCAAGCAGCATATCTCGCGGGCTTAGAAGTGCGAGGATTCAGGGTTCGTTAGGGGATGCGCATCCCAAGACGGTGATCCAGGTCGCCGTCTGAAGTGTTAACGTCCAGCTTCTTGCGCTGAGATGACCCGATGTTGGGTGTGAGCAGATGGAGCAAACACGCTTGTCTTTCAACTTGCATCGAGTGCGGTGTTTAGTTCTCAGTCTTTAGCAGTGAGCGGTGACAGGTCTTTGCTATCTTTCATGGTCCCAGCAAGCAAAGGTTGAGGTGGGCCACACATGCTTACATCCATTTCGGAGACCCTCCAATGTGCGCGAGAAGCTCCACCTGCCCCCTGTGGCCGAAGATCAAAAAGGATGCGAGAGTGCACGGTTGAGGAGTGCAGCACCTGCCATGCTGGCTCAGGGTGTGTCACGGGCAGGACTTTTTTCTCAGAAGGGAGCCAGCACAGACAGAGAAGTGCGGACTGCATTGCCCCGCATGAATCCGAGTAGTCAAAGCAGTCCGAGTTCGTCCTGAGAGTGAGGTGGGGCTTCATTACCATGGCAGATGCCGGCCTCGCGCAGGCTGCTATCGCAGTCCGGTGGCCAAGAGAGATTTAAAGTCGGACCTTCGGGTTGTGGGTTCGATCTTCAGAGAGTGCAGTTTAGGATGGAATTTGGGGTCTCTTCGACTGAAGGCGGAAGCTGTGACTCTGACTCTCCTGTCAGCTGCCCTTTCCCAGGAGATGAATGGCAAGACGCTCCACCCACCACAGGTCGATTTCCACGCGGCCCAGCAGGACAACGGTGTCAGAGTAAGCACTGCTGCGCTCCGGGATGTAGTGCAGCTGCCTTCTCTTCCAAAGTCTTGAAGCTGTGGTGCCATCTTTTTGAGCGGCTCCGTTACAACGGTACAAGTTCACATCCGGGGCAGATTTGCAGCCATTTGTGTAGAGTACTCGCTTTGCGAGTAATTTGCCCCCCTTTCTTTTCCGCTTGACGTGCTATACATGGATGCTGGGATGGTCGCCAAAACAACAAGTCGTCCGATGCAGCTAAGTGCAAATCCCCCGGCATGTGGATCATGAGCGTCGCCCATGATGCATTTCTTTCGGCAGTGTGCACGTCAGTGAGGTTGACACTTCTGCTGATGTGCTGTAGAATCTGTAGAAAGCTCGGCTGCGTTCGGGTCCTTCTCGTCAAAATTGAATGTGTTCCCCTTAACTTCACACACCACGTGCCATTTTCGTACATGTGGGGTGCTGAGTCCTTGTTGGTCATGCAAAAGGTCAGGTTGAGGAAGCTGCTGTTGAGAGCGAAGCTCCTTACGTGTTGGTGTGCGTCAGGACATGGCTAGCATGCACGGCATGCATGCAGGAGGCAGCGGGGGCGGTGGGCTTGGTATGGTGGGTGTCTAGATTGGTGTCAGTGCTGACTGTCAGTAGCGGTGGCCATGTGTAAGTGTAAAGCAGGTTGGCATCTAACATAACAGATCAAGCGGTAGTGCATTGCGACACTGTGTTGCCATGGATCTAGTTAAGTGGGTGACCTGGCTGCTACAAGGGCCTCACAGGCAACGAAGCCTCCGCATTGTCATGTCTTGTGCAGCCTTTGACAGGCTTCGACCCCAGCCTAGCTCCAGAAGCAGAACATCAGGTCCACCCGCTGATTAATTTTGGCATAGTTCCCACTGGGCTCCTTCAGAGCTTTCTGAGTTTGACATTGCTGGGTTTGGTGTCCTTATGATCGACTGCACGAAGATCCTGGATCGCGCCTGTTGGCGACTGTCTGTAAAGGCTTTTCTGACCAACAAGAATTCCCAAAGGCGGCGAACATCCCAAGTCTGCAACGCAACCCGAGACGTGTGCCCACAGACGTGCTTTCAGAGTGGGGGCTCTTCAGTGATCCGAGGCCCCGGCCATTGCAGGCGTTGCACCGGCCGGGCTTGCGATGAATGGTGACATAGGCCGGTGGCTCGGGATGGCCACGGCTCTCTATGCTCCAAGTTTCCCCTGCATCCAGAGGTATGCAGAGCCACATGGCCGGAGGCTTCGTGCAAGAAGGCACGCTCTACGACTCTCTACGACTTTATGAGCAGGGCTAGGGCCGAGCGGGTTCTAGGGGGTTCTTCGTTCCTGTTTGTGCACGCCAACGCCTCGGCGGAGTTTCCGACGCTCCTTTCATCTGGCGGAGGCTTCGGTGCCGAAGCCCACCCCTCCTCCGGCCTGGGGCTCGATGCAGGCCGAGTTCCTACCGGGTGTTTTGAGGGTTCTGCGCATCGCGAATTCATTGGTGACATAACATAAAGGGTGACGTCGACGTGTGATGAATAGGGTGGTCAACCTGTGGGCATACATGTGTTTTGTAGACACTCACAGCCCCCACAACACCGTCGCCTGATCCGATTATGTCTTGGGTGGGAGTGGCACAAGGATATCTTTGATCTTTCCTTCTGCATTTCATCCTCAATATTCGAGGCTTCGGTGTTCCACCGCCGCCACCAGCAAGTGGCTTCGGCGGTCCAGGCTGGTCCCTCTCACCGAATGCTTTGTAGCGACGGAGCCTTTTTAGGGACCGCTTGCGGACTGGAAGTGTTCTGCCAAGCTGAATCCCTGCGATGCCGAACCGAACGTCCGCGCTCTTTCCCTGGAGGCCTGGGCACAGATGGGCCCGCACCGGCCGCCTTCAACGACACAGGCTGCGGCCCTGGTGCGAGATGGGCTATCAACACTTTACTTGACGGGCTTTCTTCGTATGGTGAAAACGAGGGACCTAATTTCAGTCAGGAACAGCTTTGAAGTTGGGGTCTCCGAATCGACGAAATGGGAGCCTTTGGCAAGCTCCGTTGATTGTGGAAAAGTCCTCAATCGGACCTTCCAGGCCTTTCACTCACGCGGTTTTCAGAGCCTCGCCTTGCTCGCCTCATCGGTCACCGCCCGCCTGCAACAAGGTGATGCAGTCACCCTAATGCGAAGACCGAAACCCCATCACCCGAGTTGAACTTCCGGCAGAAGTCTGGACCTGGGAGAGACAAGGAAGGATGCCTGTAGTAGCATGCATCCCATCTCATATCATATCGGACAGGTGCTCTGCCAGATTGCTCCGATCCCAAGTCCTGAGCTGGAGAATATCTCTGCCACGAAGCTCAGCAGAGGCCTGAACGGCCATGCGCCGCTCGAGGCGCCCGCACGACCCTTCCGTCAGTTCGCAGTGAAGGGGCTACAGGGATCTCAAGCGTCTTTTCAGTGGATCACTGGGGCAGGCGTTGCGGGCAATAAACGACGATAAGATCTTGCTACCATTCCGGTTGGTGTCGTGGCGGTGGCGGCGGCGGCGGTGACGGTGGTCGTAGCGGTGTCGTGGGGTTTTGACTTGGAGTCACCTGGCTGTCGCTGTGCTTTCTCTTTGGCAGGCGCCGATGGGCCCGGCCTCTGCGGGCTGACTTAGGTCTCTGGGCCCCTCCATGACTGGGAGCGCAAGTCAGCCAGCCAGGCTAGACCCAAGCCTCCTCAGATCAAGCAGCGCTTGCTCGCGCATGCGGCACAGCCCGACAGCATTTTTAGTATGCCGCGTTCATGGTGTACCATGTATACCTCGCAGAGCAGACCGTGAGGTTCTTACCTCTGAAACTCCAGCCACTCCAGCCCCAACTCCAACCCCTTCGCAGCCCCTTTGCCTCCAGGAGCCTGGAGGCAGCGGATGTATCTTATAGACTTATAGATGACAGCCGGAGCACGCCGTGGCTTCACTCGGTGAAGGGCCGAGAATCCTAAGCCCCTTCACGGCCCATACCTGCAAGCGTCAGCCTCAGCGCTGCCTCGGATGTCTTCGAACCGTTTCACCGCCAGAGAACCTCGGGGCCTTGGGGCAGACTGGGGGCCGATGTCAAACTTCGTGAAATCGAGTCCAAGTGGAGATGCCGTGGTGCTACGAGTCTAGTTTGGGTTTGATATGTTACAATGCCGGTTGACCCAGTTCTCCGCGTTTATTTGTGTGGGCTCTCTGGCCGGGAGGAAGGTTATGCCTCAGACATGCACTTAAGATCGGAGTTTTAGGATTCAGAACGCGGAGGTCGAATCGTAATCATGATATCAAAGACAAAGATATTCGCGGCAATCGTAACAAATATTAATGGTGTCCATAGTGCCAATCCGGCGTATCTGTGGGTGAGACGGAGAGGTGCTTTGGTTGCCTAGGATGCTTTGATCAGGTGACCGCGGAAAGGCCCTTGCCCAGAGGATTTAGGAGGCTTGGCTTGGCCAAGGCATGCTAGAGCAGCAGTGTCCCGAGCAACATAGACTCGAGAGCAGAGGCTGTGGCTGGATTTCAAAAGAGCGAGGAGCTTTCTTTGGGTGGCCGATGGCTCTGTGCGCTGTGAGGTGCAGTTGGATTGGCCAAGCTCTGGCCCTCTTGCCCCTGGTGTCCCCGCAGGTGTCAACCCCACAAAAGGGCACGAGTCTCCTGTCCGTGGCCATGTCTGCCGCAGCCTCGGTTCCCATTTTTTGTTCTCAGAGATTTGTTTGTCATTGTTGCCGAGGGTTATGATAGGTTTGGGACTGGCAAGGACTTTCAGGATTTCATGGGGCTTTTGTGGTCAGGGCAACTTAAACTTTTGAGTGATGCAGCATTTTGTGGATGCCTGTGCATTGGTATGCACTCTTTTTATGTGTTCCAATGGCTTGTTGCGTCGTCAGGCGATAAGTAAGATGGTGCAGCATGTGTGGCGTCTGCTGTGCCTGTCGGTACATGTTGTGGGCGTGAGCCATTTTTGCCAGGTGTCTCGGAACTTCTGCCACAACTGTGGCAGTGCCTGTATGCCACGGTCTCAGCACCGCGGCAATGGTTCAGTGGTCGGCTGTAGAAGTCGAGCCTAGAACTGCGAATGGCACCGCTTACCTCAAAGACCTAGGGGCCGCCCTAGGGGCCCCTGTCCTAAGCTGGGGAGCCTTGCAGTAGGATGGAAGGTGTGACTACGTTACCATGCGCTCAGAAGTAGGTTTTCTCGAACAAGTTGCTGTTGGACCCGATCTCTTGAAGGGCCGCCTTCTGCAAGACCCTATGGCAGGTCTGAGTCGCACTACTGCGGCGCGTGTGGCCAAAATCTGGGCCGTTCCCTCACGGTTCCGAAAGTGGAACTGGTTTCAAGGTTCTTCGGGATCATGGATCCTTGGGCTCCGGCTTGTTGTATCTACTCCTGCTGCTAGTGGAATCGGGCTAGGACTCGGAGTCGGAGACGGGGTAGGGGTAGGAGGACTGGGAGTGGGAGGAAATGTAGCTGCAGTAACCGTGGCAACATGAATCTGCGCCGAGCATTATCTAACGATATCTAATGGTTCAGTGAAGAGACCCCAAGGCACGCCCGCTCCTTCGGGCCAGCACGTCGAGGCGGTGGCTGAAGCAGCTTCATGTGAGAGCTCTTGTGGGACACAAGTATTGCAATCCTGGTACTTGTACGAGGATTCACTGACTGCTTTGTTCTCATGGCTTGGGGAAGCGAGAAGCTGATGCCCCTCCCTGCGCCCTTGACAGGAGTGTGGCTCGCAGAACCGAAAGCGTCAGAGGAAGCCCAAGGCAGGGCACGCTTGGAGTCTTCGAGGGTCGAAGGTCCATTTCGTTGCCTTCTTCCATGTGTCAGCTCAGCTCTTGCCCCTGGTCCGGGTTGATCATCGAAGCTTTCTGCAGGATTTCCCACGTCAGTACGTGTCTGCAGGGATTAGTGGCAATTTAATCATTGAAGCCTAAACACCGATTTCCCCAACCCCCATGCCGCAAATGCGCCTGGGACGGGGCACCAGCGCAAACCTCGAGATAGAGGCGAAGAGCCCCAACCACAGCAGCATCCTGCCATGTGCCAGGTGCAGATCTGGCGATGTGTGTGCCCGACATGCTGTAAACTGAAAGCCTGATGCCCAAACCCAAGACAAGAGCTTGATGCATGAGTCAAATCCTCGGTTCGTCCTGGAAGCCAGGACTTCCCGAATTGCTTGTAGGCAGAGCACACCGCAGGTACGAGAATGGTGTGGATATCCGGCAGTTTGCTTCTGTCATGGCGTCTCTTGGCTAACAGGGGGATGATGTGCGTGGGGATGCTCAGGAATTGGCTCTTTGACTCACTCGTAGCAACACCAAGCGCATCGAATGTCAACAACTGCCCTTTGGAGAAGCATGTGATTCAGTTCGAGTATTTGTGGATAGGACTGACACTGGGACAATACTGGGACAGCAGTAGTCGCGTGTCTGCATCATGCTGGAGACACTGTCAAAATGTTTGCAGTTCCCGGTTTGCTGATAATAGCTTCAGCTGGCGAGTAAAGGTCACGACAGCTTGTCAGGAAAGAGTCCTGTTATATCCGATCCGGCTCGTACCATCCTCTGGCTGAGTGGCAACGGACTGCGGCTTCCAGGCCCCGGACCATGTATGGCCTCGAGGCAGGGCAAGAGTCCGGGCCCCTGGGCCCCTGCCTGCGTTTCAAGAGGGGTGGGGTTGTGCGTGGGTCACTTCAGTTGACCAGCAAGAAGGCAAGCTTCTTCTCTTCTGTGCTGACTGCGACGGAGCCTCAGTACCGTCGCCCAAAGGTTTGCCGTCGAGCACGAGGAGCGTGGCCCGGACGGGATCCTGTACTTGAAGCTTGGCTGAGCTGGGTCGGGGTCGGGCAGTTTCAGCACAGCTCCCCTTGCATTTTCTGCATTCGACTCGGCAAGAGGGCAAGCATGAATAATCAAGGAAATTGGCGGATGGCCGAGGCTGGCCTGTTCATAACTTTGAGCCTTGCCTGGGCGTGGCTGGTCAGTTGGAGAGTCGGTCAGCATCTGCACCATGAGCATAGCTGCACAACACCTTTGCACTTCGGGTTTTCACGCCTGGGAGGCTGGGTCTTTGACCAGAAGCCGAGCCTGGGGGTGATCTGCGCAAAGGGGCAGGCAGGATGTGGCAAGACAGGGTACTTAGGGTGCGAGGTCTCGGAGATTCGAAGTGTGGAATTTTGGAATATGTGCCTTTCTGCTGTTCGGAGCTTCGGGGCTAGTGACGGCTAGTGATTCCAAGACGGGATTGGGATCTTGTGACAAGACACTCTGTCAGTGGCCTGATTTAGATTGCAGTCCGGCGTTTGACTGAAGACTCATGACCTTTTCACCGAATATGCATTCATGTATGTATGTATGTCTGTATGTATGTATGTATGTATGTACGCATGCATCGTGTATGCAACTGCATGTATGTACTCGTAGTATATATAAATATATACACATAATATCAGATAACATAATATATTATGATACTATATATATATATATATATATATATATGTAGAGGTGCATGATCAGAGCTGTTGGTGTTGCGTCCCCAACCTCCCCTCTCCTTTTCCAAGCACAGGGCCCTTCTGCGTTAGCCGTAACGGGAAACCAAAGCAGCATGTCCATATCACAAGGGCAGCATAGGAAACGTGGCACAGGGGTGGGGGAGGTACGGAACAAGCCGAGCTTAATCATTCTTCTGCAGGCACCGAACAAGCCGCGCCCAGCCGGGCACCCAAGTGCTGGCGACAGGGCATGAAAGCAGGGGAGGGGATGCTTAGCAGGTCCAGGCTGAAGGACGTGAGTCCTCGTGCTCAGGCAGATTTACCCTTTGTCCCTAATTTCGTGCTGAATCCCAGGCCTCGCCCCGATGCACCAGCACACCAAAGCAGGTGGGCCAACAGAAACAGAAGCGATTTTTACTGTTGGGGTAACCGTAGAGCAATATTGACTCTTCCATGTGCTCTTCTTCGTCGCACGCCTCTAACACTTCTGTAGCGACTAGGCTTGGCAACGGCAACTGTGAAACCCTGGAGGTGACTTCCCAGAACAAAGGGCGGAACCAGAGCCGCAAGGCGAGTTTGACACCGCTCAGCTCATTTTGATGAATCTTCTCAATGTCGTGTACTTCTTAGGAAGGAAGTTGTCGTCGGACCTGGTTATCGTGCAGAAGTTGCACACATCCTTCTTTGCAGGAAACTTACGATCTGGATCCTCACCGCCAAGAGGTCCTGAACTTGCTACACCCTATTATAAAGAACAGATGCAACAGAAAGCGGGACAGAAGCCGACGCCCTGTCAGGCACCCGGGTCCGAGCTCCGAGGGCGGAGCCCCGGCGTGAAGCAGAAGGCGCTGGATGTCGGGTCAGCCTTAGGTTGCAGGCATGATTGCTGGAGGAGAGCTGGCCGGAAGGCGGGTCATACACGATATGACAACGAGGAAGAAGGTACTCCGCGAGCAGACTCTCGTAACGCTGCAGTCCTTGGCTAGTGCGTAGTTCGATGTAGTTGGTGCTGTTCGGCTCCATTTGTACTTCGTAGTTGTGCAACACGGCATGCAACGAAAGCAGGAACATCCTTGTGTAGACAGATCGCAGAGCTACAGTCTCTGCACACCATCCACCATGTCATCAAGACACAGAGCTGTAAGACATAGTGCACGCGTTGGCCCATACGTTTCTCTTGGCAAAAACGAGGATCCGGCAGTAGCACGCCGTTCCAAACAATGCGAAAGTTTGGGAATCTCGCCAGAAACAGATCAGACATGCTTGGTGATGATCCGATGCTGATGACTCCGATGCTGATGACCTGGACCGATACACCGGCTGTGGCTGCAGGCCTCGCCGGTGCCACGGTCCCTGGCTGCTAGCTTGGACAAGGCTTTGTGGTCTTCCGCGTTTTCTGATCTTGTGCCAAGGAGTTGGTGGTTCTCGACTCCGCGTGTAATTACGTAGTAGGGTATCTTCTGGGATTCCAGGACTGGTGATTGGAGGCATCACTGCCAATCTGCTACCTGCAAATCGGCTGCAAAGTGTCGGCCCATTTGCGCCAGGCTGGGGATGACGCCACGAAGCGCACAGTAGGCAAGGACCAGGAGGAGAAGGCGGGCTGCAGCGCCTGGATGGGCAAAGTAAATCCAGAAGTCGGCATGTGAGCCAGAGAAGCGGCACCTTGTACAAGCAACATCAGGCAACTAATCGTGGGAGGTGTGCCTAACTGTCCACGGGGTACCATGTGGCATTCTCGTTGTGAAGATTGCGCGGTTGAACAGGCACCACTGTCTGCGCGAAGAGGATGCACCCAGGTCGGCAGAGGGGCTATGAGGGTAGCGTGAATGGTGCTTTCTGAAGATGCAGATCATGCATATCGGTTGACGAAGTGGATGTGCGGTTATGTTTCCAGACCAAGAATTGGGCAACAATGTGCAGGCTGCTGGGAAGCCGACAGCAGCTGAGCCGGACAAGGCACGTTCTGTTTGGTCTGGTCTTGCCTGACCGTTCGCTGTTTTCACTTCTGGTGCCAGTACTGTAAAGCATGTGGCATGTGTAGAAAGCCCTTGGCAAAGGCTCCTTCTACTGAGCGGCGTGGGCGCCGGAAGGAGGCTGTGTTGTGACATGTCTGACTCTCTGCCGCTGTACATTCGTTGGATCGCAGGCCTCACCAAAGCCAGTGCCGGCTGACGACTTTGAGCAGGCCTTCCAATGAGGGGCTTGACGGCACGACACCAACCTCGAGACAGTGAGTTTGAAACAGGCACCACTATCTGCGCGAAGAGGGCGCGCCCAGGCCGGCAGAGGGGCTATGAGGGAAGCGTGAATGGTATTTTTTCTGGGTTCATGAGTAGTATCCTTTGCCCTTTTTATCGTATGATTCCCTTATTAAAAACTGAATAACAGGAAAACGGGCATGTGGGGGTCACTCAGGAACCTAGTTTCTGAAGGTGCAGATCATGCTCATATCAATTGACGACGCAGATAAGTGGGTATGTCACCAGACCAAGAATTGTGCAACAACGTGCAGGCCCCTGGGAAGCCGACAGCAGCTGAGCCGGACAAGGCACGTTCTGTTTGGTCTGGTCTTGCGTGACCGTTCGCTGTTTTCACTTCTGGTGCCAGTACTGTAGAGCATGTGGCATGTGTAGAAAGCCTTTGGCACAGGCTCCTTCTACTGAGCGGCGTGGGCGCCGGAAGGAGGCTGTGTTGTGACATGTCTGACTCTCTGCCGCTGTACATTCGTTGGATCGCAGGCCTCACCAAAGCCAGTGCCGGCTGACGACTTTGAGCAGGCCTTCCAATGAGGGGCTTGACGGCACGACACCAACCTCGAGACAGTAAGTTTGAAACAGGCACCACTATCTGCGCGAAGAGGGCGCACCCAGGCCGGCAGAGGGGCTATGAGGGAAGCGTGAATGGTATTTTTTCTGGGTTCATGAGTAGTATCCTTTGCCCTTTTTATCGTATGATTCCCTTATTAAAAACTGAATAACAGGAAAAGGGGCATGTGGGGGTCACTCAGGAACCTAGTTTCTGAAGGTGCAGATCATGCTCATATCAATTGACGACGCAGATGAGTGGGTATGTCACCAGACCAATAATTGTGCAACAACGTGCAGGCCCCTGGGAAGCCGACAGCAGCTGAGCCGGACAAGGCACGTTCTATTTGGTCTGGTCTTGCGTGACCGTTCGCTGTTTTCACTTCTGGTGCCAGTACTGTAAAGCATGTGGCATGTGAAGAAAGCCTTTGGCACAGGCTCCTTCTACTGAGCGGCGTGGGCGCCGGAAGGAGGCTGTGTTGTGACATGTCTGACTTTCTGCCGCTGTACATTCGTTGGATCGCAGGCCTCACCAAAGCCAGTGCCGGCTGACGACTTTGAGCAGGCCTTCCAATGAGGGGCTTGACGGCACGACACCAACCTCAAGACAGTGAGTTTGAAACAGGCACCACTATCTGCGCGAAGAGGGCGCACCCAGGCCGGCAGAGGGGCTATGAGGGAAGCGTGAATGGTGCTCTTCTGAAGATGAAGATCATGCTCATATCGGTTGACGAAGCGGATGAGCCGGCATGTTTCCAGACCAAGAACTGGGCAACAACGTGCAGGCTGCTGCCAAGCCGACAGCAGCTGAGGCAGACAAGGCATATTCTGTTTGGTCTGGTCTTGCATGCCGCTTCGCAGTTTTCACTGCTGGTGCTCGTAGTTACATGTACTCTAAGTTAGAGTATGCCTTGCCGATTTAGGCTATCGGCACCACAATGCACCACACATAGACCCCCCCATACACCAGAACCTCATTTTCCATTCATTTTTCCCAACCAATTTCTCCAACAGCATACCACTTCATCTTCGACACCCCCGAATCACCAAATGTTTTCTCAATGAGCATACCATCAGTTTTCCACCACTTTTTCTTCCAACTTTCCAGACCTCATGTCGCATTTTCAACCAGCCAACCACATGCCCCGAAGCGTCCTAATCTTCAGCATCCAATGTTTCAACGAGCACACCAAGAGCCCTCGCCCCCCAAAATCGCACCATTCTCCCCTCAAAATCTCAACAGATTTTGCCACCTTCTTCACCATCCCTTTAAGAATTGCACCCCAAAAGCACTGTTCCACAACCTTTTCACCAAAACCAGCCCACTTGCCTTCCTTGTAGAATTTGGTTCAGGGTTTAGGGTTAAGGGTTGTATCAAAGCTTTGGCTTTTCGGATGCTCCAAGAATGTTATAACTATGCCGCAATTATAATATGTAACTGCTTACGTATTGTAATTACATGATAACTATGCAGTTTGGATAGTTACATCACCGTCGCCTGTAGTTAGTAATTTTAACGCTACGCCGCCCGCCTCGGCTCTTTAGCGGCAGGGCGAGGGGGCAGTCAATGTTGTATAGATGCTTGGGGGGCCTCTCAACCCAGCCATGTTTTTTGGGGGGGGGGAGGGAGGGTAGGGGGGGGGGGGGAGGGGGGGAGGGGGGAGAGGGTTGGGGGGGGGTTGAGAGGGGGAGGGGGGACAAGGGGGGGGAGGCCGACAAATCAGGTAAAATGAAGGGAAGCCGGACAAGGGGGTGGCAAACGAATGCAAAAACAGGGTGTCTCCAAACATGTGGACTGCACCGGGTACCTGAGGTAACCAGCAAGACGCCTGGGCCTGCGGCCTCGGCGGATAACTTAATTGAATATTAAATTATCATTGACGGACTGTTGTAACAAGAATTCTGGATTATCACCTCATTAAGGAACCTTGTTGCTTCTTCTGAATATACAAGCTCAAGAGGTGAATTCCAATCAAAATATCATCTCGATAAAATATTGTATACTCGTTGATAATATTCAAAATGTCCACATGAAGTATCTTTGACATAATTTGTTGTCCTGATGCCATTTATAGAAGTCCAACGTATCTAGGTTCTCATACATTGTTTTCATTTCACTATGTAACTCAAGTGTATAATCTTCCTTTTGATGATGAACATCATCTCGCATGGTTTTATGAACTTCATCATATCCTGGATATTTACATGGTTTAGTAAACGGACATATGTAATCATCATGAAAATTCCTTAACTTACAGCGTGTATCGCGACCATAGTAGTCTACAATCTGATCTTTACAGTTATGCAAGACAGTGCATTTAGCTAGTAAAAGTTTCTGTCTGTTCTTAGCTGGAATACAATTTTGCAGTTGTTGAAAAATATTTATTTTCTTGGCTTTCTTCTGGTTGGCTCTTAGGACTTTAACTTGTTGGGTTTCTATATGACCAGAATAAGGAGGCGAAAAGTTTAACTTTTAGGAGGGGTTCAGAAGACAGCCAAGTTTCGACATTTCATTGTAAAACAAATATATTTTATCATCACTGCCACTTTCATAATCACTCTCACTGTCGTATTCATTGTCACTCATTTCCACAATGATTTATAAGTTGTTATTTCTTTCAGTCATATCCTCAGAAAATATTAGTTTCTTAAAAATTTACTGGATCACGCTTTGTTTGACAGACTTATCTAAGCATTCAGAACAAGTCGCAATGTATTCAACATAACACTAAGAAGGGCCGGTGAAGTTTTTGAGGGGAAAATGGTGCGATTTTTTGGGGGCGAGGGCTGTTGGTGTGCTCGTTGAGAATTGGATGCTGAAGATTAGGACGCTTGGGGCCAAGTGGTTGGCTGGTTGAAAATGCGACATGAGGTCTGGAAAGTTGGAAGAAAAAGTGGTGGAAAACTGATGGTATGCTCATTGAGAAAACATTTGGTGATTCGGGGGTGTCGAGGATAAAGTGGTATGCTGTTGGAGAAATTGGTTGGGAAAAATGAACTTCAAATGGAGTTTTGGTGTATGGGGGGGGTCTACGTGTGGTGCCAACCTAAGTAGGCAAGGTATGCTCTAGCTCTCTACGGCATTGTAAGGCACGTGGCATGTGTAGAAAGCTTTTGGCACAGGCTCCTTCTGCTGAGCGGCGTGGGCGCCGGAAGGAGGCTGTGTTGTGACATGTCTGAGTCTCTGTGCTTGGTGCATCTGCCGCTGTACATTCATTGCATCGCAGGCCTCACCAAAGCCAGTGCCGGCTGACGACTTTGAGCAGGCCTTCCAATGAGGGGCTTGACGGCACGACACCAACCTCGAGACGCTGACTTTGAAACAGGCACCACTATCTGCGCGAAGAGGGCGCACCCAGGCCGACGGAGGGCTAACGTGTCAGCCTCTAGCAGCTCTAGCAACTCAAACATCTGCGTTTGTTGGTGTTGGCACAGCGCAAGCGCACGGACAATTGTTGTCGTCATGAATATCAGAAGAGCAGCTCCGAAATTTAGCCTATTGCACCGCCTTGTGCTCTGCGCAGCTGTTGATGCTTTCCTGTTGACGTGTGAGTGGCCGGTCAGTCTTTTCTTCAGCCTTTGTGGAGCTACCTCATCGTCTTCCTGGCGATAGGGTGCTTCATCGCAACCGCAAACGAACGAAAAGACGTTTGCTTTGGTGTAGGCAACGAGTCCGCGGGCATGATTCGAGGAAGGAATGGTTAACCGCCCAAGCCGGTACTGATCACGATTGGTTCTGCTATGTTCTGCTTCTGATGCTGCGGCCTGCACCCATTGCCTCCGAATCCGAAGCCATGCCCCAAACCGGACAAGCTTTGCATCGCTGTGCAGGCCCCGGCGAAGCTCGCTGCCCCACCAACCAGTAAGGGAAAGGCATCACGGGCCATGGTGGTTTCGGATTTGAATTGCAAAATAGCACTGCCTGAGAGGGCCGGATTCCATACTGTGGGGTCATCGTTAGGTCTCCTTCATCCGGAGGACGTTTTTGAAATTGGGGGCTCTGGTCGCAAGTTGCTGGCAGTGGTCGAGTCTTGCCCCGCTTTTCATGGCCACAGCCTACGGGCTTCTTACCAGTCGGCAGCCCATGATCCAGTGGCATCGGCGTGGAGCTCCCTCGTCAAACGCTGCTGTTGCCGCTGATCGAGCGACGATGGCAGGCAGTGCCAAAGCAGTCCGACAAAGAGTACGACAAGGCTGCGAGCGCCTCTTAAGCTCGGCAAACAACTCCGAGCAAGAAAACGCATTCGGCCGGGAAAGATGCAAGATTCTGAAGTCAAACCTAAGACATCATCGTAAACTGCAAGAGTCGCGTGATTGAAAAACATGTACGCGAGGCATCGCCCAAGCGCAGCCGAAGCCCCGTGAACAAGGCTTATCCCTGCACGTTCCGTGTATTCAGTGGGCAAGAAAGTGGATTGTAGGATCTTATGGTGCTTTGCATGAGCGTTATGGAGTAGACTGCATGCAAGGCTTGTGCTTTGCAGGCAACACATTGTTGCCTACTACTGTGGGGTTCATGGCCACTGTGCCCCTTCGGGATCTTATGTTCCTGCTTCTGAAGGCGACGGTAAGCAACAATTGCATAGGGTAGCCTTGTCACATGTGGCTTGCAGGGCTTAGGAGGATTTCGCACTACGACTTGTGCGGCTCTCCCCAGCTGAGCCTGAAGGATGACCTGTCAAAGGTGCGATGTAGTTCCGTGGTTTTGAAAAAGCCAGGAACATGTAGTCTGTGCGTCTTGGGCGGTTCAACACAAAACTCTGAACCGACAAACTACCAGCAGGACCATCTAGGATGGCTCAAGCCAGACTAGAGGCACTAGAAGCATTGAGGACTTTTCTTCGGGATGCTTCGAGTTTGCACTTTAGCGAAGGCCCCGGGACGTCCAGCACCGCGAAATCGCATGGAGGCGCCGTCAGCCGATTCTCAAGCATGCAGAAGCTAGCTCTTTTCCCTACATAACGTGAGATCAGGCTTCATGGTTGCGGCTAGACGGTTATACGTTCTCCCGGCCTCGTTTCCGGGTCCTGCCGGGCCCCTAAGGCCGAGATACTCCAACTCCTCTCGGATGCCTGGTACCCCCCGGTAGTCGTTTTGTGGTTTCCGCTTCCAAACATGGTGCGTACCGCCGAATTCCTGAGCAGGAGCCACACGGTTCTGCTCCGGACAAGGGAGCTGCAACAGCCACGCAAAGTGCTGCGAAGGCTACTGCTTCGGATGTACGAGCGACTTCAGCATAGCTTTCCATCATTGGTGTCAGGCCACCCGGGCTGGCATTTCACGGCACCGCCACCAGTAGACACGTGTTGGGCATGAGGAATAGGCTTTCGCATCACGCATCTCTCTGGGGCAGAGGGTGCAAGCTGCAGGGGAAGCTGCCGGAGCCGAAGGGCAAGCCGACGCTGGCGCAGAAAAAGCTGCAGGCAAGCTTTCAGGACGCTTGAGACACTGGGTTGTTGACAGCAGGGGTGCTTGACAGGGAGCCCTTTGGAGTCTCTTGAATCGTAGCCTTGGTGACATGATTGTGGACGCCCGGAACCTCATCCCCATGCCAGAGTGAAAAGAGGCGATTGCGCCGGAGCTCTACAGGAAGCCCAACCCGGCGTTGAAGGAGTTGCCTCGAGCCGGAAGCTTGTCAGTGGATCCTAATGACCATGCATCCGTTCTTGGACCTTCGCTTCTGATGGACCGGACGTCGCGTGAGGTTTCTCGGGCTCTTCTGCCCCAACTCCCGCCCGACGACGCGCCCGACAACCGACGTGGCCAACCACCGGCCTCCAAGGTCAAAGCCCCGACCAAGGAGCCAGTGTTGCCTCTGTTGAATGTTGCAGCGATGAACCGAACTCCCCTCCCCCCGAGTTTCCCATGCCCTGGCCTTGGCATGCCCTGGGCTCCCAGGAGGCCGCCCGGGAACGGGAGAGATCGCGCACCTGTCCCAGATCACCGAGGCACGGGCTTACGGCGTGTCAGCCCATAACACAGCTTTCGAGCAACGAGTTGGAAATTGAGAACTTGCCATAGAAGCATTATGAAGCATGTCTCAAATCACTCCACTGTTGCAAGGCTCGAACGCAGCCCAATCCCGTTTGCTGCCTTCTGTGCAGCTCGAGACGCTGACGCTAAGGCAAACTAAGGGTAAGGGTTTTCCTCTAGGCCTAGGGGAGGCTTGATAATTCTTCTGTTTTTGGGAGTGGGGGATGCGCAAGGATTGGTTGGGGCTGTGGAGGTCTCACATCACAAGACTAGAGGTTTGAGATTTGTCTCCGAGTTGAGAATGTCATGCAGTCTTGCCAACCTCGGATGCCTGAAGCTGACAAAGCTCTCAAAGCTGTGCACAGGTTCTGGTCCCATCTGCGACAGGTCTTCTTGAGCGCCTACGGCGTACGAGCCAGGCTCCTTTCACAGCCCGACCTTTAAAAACAACCTTCAGCCGAAAGATGTTCTGGAAGCCACTGTTTGCCGGGTCGCAGCAATTCGTATTGATGCCGAGGTCGGAATGCTTAATCCCCTGCCCCTACAGTACCCGCTAAGAAGCATTGTTGCCAATCTAGATGATTGCCAATCCAGATTCCCTCAAAAGAAAAGCAAGCCTGTGAGCTTCCAAGCTTTGTTCTGTGTCATCCGTCCAGGCAGCAGCACCCATTGCATTGCCGACATCACCGTGCCTTGGCACAGAGCATGACTTTGCATCTGAGTAGCCCGCTGAATATCCACGAATCCCGAAGCCCTCGATCCAACATAACTTTTCTCGCGCCGAAGGAAGCGGGCTCCCCATGGAGCACGTGCGGCTCCTGCGGTGGACACGGCAGAGGCGGGGAACAGCAGAAGGCTTTTATTCCCAAAATCCCCACAGTAGCCCGGGCCCTGAGAGGCACCTGAGCCGGCGGGCTCGGAGGCTTCGGAGGCTTCAGATCTCACCGCCGAGCTTCAGGCGCAGGCGCACTGAGTGCTGCTCCTTGAGGTTCTGTGCAGGCCAGTAACCCGGCCAACGATTCAGCACAGTCGCGGTGCACATGATCCGCGTCATTGCACCCCGCTTTTCCTGACGGCCCGGGCGGGCCAGCATCATCATGAGCATCAGCGCCCCGATCTTTTTGCTTGGGCGTCCTGATCACAAGTAGTTAAATCAGAACCATCGCAGAGTGCATGATCGCAACATCCCGCGTGTGTTTTGACAGTCTGCATCATGAGCAGCAGCGACCCATCGCTTGTGCCGGTGCCGTCCAACCACCGTGACATCAGTTTTAGCTCGAATGGCTTCTGGTCACAGGCAGCTAAATCGTCACTCGAGGTGCGCATGATCCGCGTCCCTTGGCAGCGTTTTTCCCGACAGCCCGGGCAGACAAGCATCATCAGAATCAGTTTTGAACGTTCAACTGCCCTGCCAGCATCATCATTTTTGGTTGGCACGGCTGTCACACGCAACCAAATCAGCACAGTCGTGGTGCGCACGAACGAACGGCAACAGCGTTCCTCCGCGCCTTTCTTGACACTTGACGAATATCGTCGGCTTCAGCGCATGGCTGTTGATCACGGGCGGCACGAGCCACATTATTTCGCCGCATCGTCAGCACAATTGCATCGGTTTCCTTTCCCAGATGATCATCCGGAACCGACCGGCATGAGCGTTTCGATCATGTCGTGCGTCGACCAGCGTCACCATCCGTGTTCTGTTCCTTTCGCTGATTGCAGGAGGAGGCGGCAAGCCGGCAATTCCAGCAGATGGAGACCTGCTGGGGTCCAGGGTCTTGGCCCAGGGTCAAAAACCGGGGTTGGGAGGTCAGATATTCGAGGTGATGCAACTCCGCGATGAGCTATGCAACATTGTTTAGGATCTAATCTGGCCTTTGGTGCCCGAGCCAGGAAGGGATGAAGCAACGATCTAGCTCCGTCCTCGAAATCTGCAGGAGACCTCTGCCAAGAACGCTTGGCAACGGGCGAAGGCCATGGCAGACGTTTTGGCGCAGCAGAAGGATGAGGCTGGAAAGAAATTGGGGGGGTGGGGGTTGGGGGGAGGTTCAAGGTTCACAAGTTGTTGCTGCGATAGTCCAGCTGCATGACATCGTCATGCACAACCTTGGCGTCTGTGCTGTAATCATTGTAATCGACACTGACTCTACCGGTATGGTTTTCAAGACCTCTTCAAGATATTAGCTTTGCTGTGCGCCTCTGGCCTGGAGATGTCCTTCCACCAACAACATCGATTTGCAGTTTCACGTCTGTGTTATTGTGAACAGCAGTTTGGGTCGAGGTTTGTGTTGCTCTGCGGAAACACAATTACATTGTGGAGCAGAAGCCGCAAGAGTCTAAAAGAGTCGTAAATCGCTTGACACAAAACCTGCAGGCCAGTGGCTCACGAGACAGCAGTTCGAGGCTGTAATGCCATAACAGACCTGCTTGTACAGCAGCAGGGAAGCCCTTACTTGTACCATGCCTTTCTTTTTGAGGAGGCTCGGCAAGCCGACGCAAGGAAGAGGCTCGACGAGGCGGCTCCTGCTAAACTTCTGCTGCCGTTGCTGCTGAACGAGTACTGAGCAATGAGTCATGGGGAGTGCTACTCAGTCACTCGTCGTGTGCTGAACCAGACCTGGTCCTCGAGGCCACGGCGAGTCGGCAGGCTGCGGAAGCTCGGGTGCAGGAGGCCAGGCAGGACAGAAGTCCCCGCTGTCTGTCTAGGCTATTGGAGGCGGGGTGCCAGCGATGCGGCGTCCCAGTTTCAAACAACAAAGCCATGCTTGCAAAACTCATGGAGCGAAGTGGGACAGGCAAACCCCAAACCTTCGACTCTCGGCATGCCGAGGTGGAGCTTGCGGTGGAGTCACTGCGCAGTGAGATTGCGCAGGTCCGGGTCTCCAGTCCAGGGCGGCTGCAGCGCTTGTGTCAAGGGCCTTCAATCTTAGAAGAATTTTGAAAGGTCAAGTGCCTTGGGTGAACTGGCAAAGGGGAATGAAGTCCAGATTGAGATGGCCCATCAAAGCTCCACCTGAACTCGTCTCTGGATTTGCGCACCCACTGTTGTGAATCAAAGGCAAGGTCCACCACATGCTGCAGCACCTTGGTGTTGTCTACGCATTTTCGTCTGACCCTCCTGGAAATTCATTAGTCAAGTCCGCGATGCGTAAGTATCAAGAAGCTGAAAAAAAGGAGATTGCTTTCAGTTCCCCCGCCGTGGTTCAAATCGTTTGTCCCTGGCATTACTTGCGGACCAGAGAGCTGATTGAAAGAGCGTTGCATCCCAATACGGCCTCCGAATGCCGGAACCTCTCCCCTTTCCGGGGTCCTGATGCATCTTGTTTTCGGCTTGGGCCTGATGACGTCCTCGCTGTCAGGTAGAGGAGGAGTCGCAGCAGCGCATCGCAAGCCTCAAAAGCGAGGAGTGGCTTTTGTCTTGTGCTCTCAAGTGTACTTCAATTTAAGTGTTGTCTCCACAAGTCTACGAGCCCGGTTGCGGGACCTCCAGCCTTTAGCTCACCTTGCCAGACATGTTAGTCGTTTCTGCAGAGTGTCATGCAGAAGAATTCCGAAGAATCATCCGAAAGGAAGTCTGCTCGCGCCAGGCAGAGGAGGCTTCGCGGCAGAAGGAGACCTGCCTAGTGGAGGCCCAGGGCCCAGGGAGTGCCTCGTGTGTTGCCTCGGTTTGAGCGTGGAGTTGGCTCCTTCACTCCCAAGCCGAAGCCGTATTGACAGGCTTTGGCCACCGCGCAGGGTGCCAAGGAGGATGCCCAACGCCATCTTCAGCGAGGAGCTCGGTCCTTTGGGGTCACTCCAGGCTAATCTTCGGTGAAGGATCCCTCGTAAACCCAGATCGCCTGTCTTGTGAGGCACGCTCTGCTCCCACTCCCTTTCGCATGAAGTAAAGCGATTGCCTTCTTCTGTACCGTCTGAAGAAACTTGTAGAAACCCGGCTTTCTTCGCCATACAGGCGTTTCTTTCTCTCGAAGCCGAATCCACATGCTGACATCTCGGAGCACCAGTGTGCAGGGGGTGTTTTCCCGAATTGCTTGTAACACTTGCTTCAAATATTCGGCTGAGTTCGGCTTCAGAGGCGGCATGAATATGACCTCTGTGACGATCGTCACGGTTCTGTTGTGTGTGGCTTCTGCAGACGCCGTGTCTGTTGAGTTGGAACGCGAAGTCTCCTACCGGAAGGTAGCAGGCTGGTACAAGTTTCCAGTTGGCGGCGACCAGTGGGAGTGGGAGACGGGATGCATCGCCTCCCATCTGAAGCAGATGGTGCATTGTGACGATACCGACACTGAAAGAGGCGCGAGTCCAGAATTGCGGGCTTTTCATCTCGATTGCACTGGTTGGAAGGAGTCAACGTTTAAGTGGCAGGCCTCGGTGTTGATCCCTATCGTCTTCTTCATGCAATGCGCCAGTGTCACTCTGGAGATGGCATCAAACAGTAGCTTGCCCAACTTGGAAACACGCTTCCCATACAACGACGATGTAGAAGTGCCAGTGTCTGGCCCGCTGCAGCTCCGCATCGCGTGCTTGCCCCTAGAGAGCCGTAAGACGTGGAAAGAGGTCGTATATGACTCCCCGAAATGGGGGGAACAATTCTTCGTGCTTCGTGGCAACTTTACAACCGCAGGCAACAGAGGTGCAGGGGCCGGGACAGAAGGAGCGTTGCTTCGACATGTTGGAAGAGATCTACGGCTGGAAGGCAGAGGCGTTGTCCCCTTGGAGAGGCGGCCGCAAGAACTGCGGGGTGATGCGCTGGTGCTCCCCCGAGCCAGCTCGCAGCCCTGAGCTGGACGCACTGGTGCTCGACCCATTGTGTCCAAGCTGCACCCAGCGCGCGTCGCTGACTCGCCGCACCAATACAGATGCACAAGGACCGGTGTTTGGAGGTCTCAGCTCCAGGATTCTCGCAGCTCGAGCTGAACCGCACGTACCGCAAGAGGAGCTAATGCAGGCCCTGAAGCTTGTACGCTCCGGTCCTGTTCCATGTACCGGGTCAGTCGCAGCCGAGGAGGTTGCTATAAAGGAAGCTGATGAGGCGAAAGCAACGGGTGAGCCTTTCGTGCGGGTTGATACACCAAGCGTAATTTACCAGGAGATTCAGGTGGATGGCTCGCGTCTGCGAAAGGGCACGCGGAAGATCTTCGTCACGGTAGAATATCCGGTGACATTGTGGGGTTCAAAGGCCACTCTGGTCGTTGAGATCTCAGCAGAAGGCCAGGGCGGCCAGATGGAACGCTACTTGCGTATCCTTTTCCTCGTCGTAGCCTTCTTGGCCTTCGCTGGCTGTGCACTTTTCCTTTGGCGACGGCAGAAGCTCATCCACGCAGACGAGGAGCAACGAAGTTTGAACATCCCAACAGGTGGGTGAGTGCTGGCTATGCTATGCTCCAGGGGCTTGTAGTACTGCGAAGCGTCATAGACAACAGGGCAAAGTTCTCCTGTGAAGGGCAGACAGGGAGCAGAAGCCAAAAGATGCAGCCAAAGCGAACAACCTCAGTCCCACTTCTGCTCTGGGCCCTGAGCCTGAGCATGTGCACAAAGCAGGGATCCTCCCGGCGAAGGTCGCTGCAGCAGCGGTGTGCTGCAGAGCTCCGCCTGGCCAAGGATGGGCTCCTTTAACTTCGCTGTCGTCCGTTGTTCTGCTTTTTCCAGCAGAGGGGGAGGTGTATGTCTTGTGCCGCTGAGGTACCTTGGTGTTTGTGCTGGCGAGTTTGAAGGGGTTTAGCTCCTGTGGGTGCTCGTGGCACATCGTGTTGAGAGAGGCTGCATGTTGCAGCTGGGGGAAGGCACTCTCGTGACTCTAGTGTGAAGGCTTATACCGGCATAAGCACTAAGAGTTCGGTATGTGTGGTGTATCTCTGTTGGTTTGGGTCCTGCCGTAGTTGACAATGCCAGTATCACCTTGAGGAGAAATATGCAGACGACCAGGAGGCCGTGTCTTCTGCGGCGAGTGAAGGGATGGGAATCTGATCCTAGTTTTTGCGTGTTTTTATCCTCGTGCTAGTCCTAGGCTGGTCCCTGTTTACTCTGAGAATCCGATGGCGGCTTTGACTACGCCAGTACAGTATTCGTCAGGACAATCTGTGGCAGTGGAAAGCCTCCCAGCCTCAGGAGTGTGCACATCCTATTCCTCAGTTTGGCCGATGTGCGTGCGAAATCTTCCCAGTATACGGCTGTTCTGCCGGCCAGCATGCCAGCTGAAGTAAAAGTTGTGACAGGTCCCGGTTGAAGCGACGTGACAGAAGTGGCACTATGCACGACACCTGTGAAACTAGCCTGTCGAAGCCGCACTGTGGGTGCTGCTGCGTGGCGACTGAAACCGAAGTGGTGCCTCAACCCCATAGTAGGACCTTGGTGGCCAGTGCGCCTGACCGTATGTGGCCGCACGCAGGGCTTGTAGGATGTGTCTGTATTCAGCCGTGCCGACACGTCTTTGAGATTTGCTGCAACTCCCGGCCGGGGCTAAGAACACGGAGAGGATCCCCGACAGATGCGAGCTTTCAGGCCCAGGCCGAGGCCCGAAGCCCTGACAGACTGTGCCAGGCTTCGCTGCAAAGGTTGGCAGACCATGAACTGAAAGCCCAGGGCACGAGGCTGAGCCGGCTGTGGGGATTGGGATGAAGATTGGACGCGCCCAGGGTGGGGCTTGCGCTGGGGGGTTTGGCTGCAGCTTGAATGGTCTGAGGAACCACGCTATCACTATCTTCATTCTTCGCCGCTGAAGCCCTTTCCCTGCTAGCCCGAAGGAGGCTACCGGAAGCCTCTGAAGCCTCTGCACCAAACTGTCAGCCGCCCGTAGAAGACCTGAAACGCCGAGGCCCCGTCCTGGAGCTGGAAGCGAATGCCGAGGCTCAGAGGCCGAACTGCCGGGCTGCCGGGCTTTGCGGCTTTGCGGCTTTGCGGCTTTGCTGCAGGGCTGAAGGGCTGTAACTCTGCAGGTAGTGAAGCTCTCCCGGTGGTAGTGCTTCGCCTTTGTACCTTGTAATGGTTTCACTCCTTCTCGGGTGGCTGAGACAGAGGCAGGCTGCTGCAGCGGAGGCTCGCGCGCAGGAGGCGGCAGCCGTGGCCTCAGCATCTGCCGCTGTGCTGCTTTCGGCCGGGCAGTACAGGGCTCAGAAGCAGCCTACGATCCCCCGTCCAGAAAACTCAAAGTCACAAGGACCGGCCTATGCCATATCCTAAACCATTTTTGTGTCGTTCCCGCGTTCGTTTTGCAGGTCCCTCATGAAAGGAGAGCTTCATGACTTCCCGCTGGTGCTGCAAAACCTTTCGGTTGAGAAGCAATCATTCTGCCGGCAGCAGGCACCGCAATTGGCAGCACTTAAGCACCGAACTCAGTTGACATCAGACACGCTATTCAAGCTCAATTCTAGGTTGGGTTCGTGCACTTGCTGGACTCTGGTTCGGATGTTTCTGGGTCTGAAACCCACGCCACACTTGCCCAAAGCACTGTCAGGAGTCTGCTGGTTCAGAAGCCCGTCAAGTCTTGTGATCCTCCACCAAATAGGTAGGACCCATGATAGTACATCGGCGAAACTATGCTGTAAGGTGTGTTTCGGAATACGAGGCACGTGTCCTTACGCAGTGCTACTTGCACTCGCAGATGCGAGAATTTATGCTTCTTTCCTGTTGTGCAGTGTTGCGCAACTAGGTCACGATCATTGCATCCCTTACATGTTGTTAATCTTTTCCCCTGGATGTGCGAAGGATTTACAGGGACCGGCTCAAAAACTGCCCAGTGCAGGCGGGATGTTCTTTGGGCCTGCCTAGGTCTGAGGTCGTTGAGGCAGAGCGCAGGGCAGCTGCCGCCGAGGAGGCCTTGCGTCGCATATCCAGGATTTGGGCAGGAAAGTTTTTGCTGAATCCAACTTTCGAATCTAACTTTTCGCTGCTTGGACTTGAAGGTCTTGTGGTACAGTCCGTGTGCCAATGCTAGATCTGCAGAAGCGACGCAAGAGCCCTGAGCTTGCAGCTCCTTTCACATGCAGGCCCGGCGACGCTCGGAGGAGCGAGCGATTGCAGAGGAGTCCAGGCAGAGCCCCGAGCCGCGGATGTGGCACTGCAGAGCCCTGAGCCGCCCTGAGCCGCCCGCGACGTCAGGTTGAGGGTTCTCATGGACATGCTTCCGCGGGCGGAGGCGCACGGATGTGCACGGCACGGCACATGGCTCTTGAGTTTGAGCAAAACGTTGCTTCCCGGAGCTTAGGGATAGGTTAGACGCTCAGTTTGCTCACTGCAGCACGGAGCTCTGTTTCATAGCTGCAAGGCAAAACGGTTCGGCAGTTGCATGCGCCAGTCGGAGTCATTCACAGAAAAAACTTGCAGAAAACTCACGACCCTCAACACAAAGTCCCAGCCAGACGAGGCTTCTCGGCGGTACAGGCTTCGGGCTTGGGTTTCGGGTTTAAGCGGAGAGAGCAGGTCACGACTGAATACAGGGATCAGGTCTCATCTTTTTTTTGCTTTCTGGTTCCATCGGCATGCTCAGCGCACTGCGATGGGTCTTTTCTTGCGCTTACCGGCCAGACAAAGATTGGGGGGAGAGCACCTTGGCAGCAAACCGGTGAAGGTGGATCACGCTTGCTTGGTTTGCCGCGTAAGTACAGAGCTTGCAACTCTTCCTTGCGATCGCGATCCTTCTGTGGAACCTCAATGTGCAAGCCAGAGACTTGTTAAAACCAGTTTGCAGTCCACCCAACCCGAACTTCTGGCCTCAGGGTTCTAGCTTCTGGTTTGTTTAGAACGGGATTTGTGTCCTGCCGGCAGTGCCCATCAGAACCTAAATTCAGATCTCAGGATCTCTTTGGCATGTTCGGGCTTTGAGGTGTGCCAGGATGCATCCAAACAGTTCTGACGGTTCGAAACGGTTTCCAAGTATTCAGGGACACTGCTGCGTAAGTTCCCAAGAATGTGCCGCCTGAGTTTTTTTGCAACAGTTCCAAAGCCCCTGTGAGCAGTCACACATAATCGAACCTGGGCAGAAGACTGCTCGAAGCTCAGGCGACACCTTTGAAACGAGCCTCGATCCGCCCCCCGGGGATCCCGGCCCCTTGGGAACAATGGGCACGGCGCGGAAGTGGCAGTGGACGGTCATTTCCATGGCTGATGCGGTTTTGCAGTGTGTCATTTTTCTTCGCAGTTGCAAGGGGCCGCTTCTGAATGCGGGGCTCCCGAAATTTAGAAGGCACGGCGGCTCAGGATTTGTTGCATCTTTTGGCTTCGGCTACGGGAGCGAGCCTCGCCTGCACCGTCTGGAGCTCTCACAAGTACTCGAGCCTGCCGAAACCTCTTTACCCAAAAAAGCAGAAGCACCAACAGGAGAAGCAGGCTCGGCTGGGGCTCGTCCCTGCCTCGCAGACGCTTCCAGACCCGGCCGTGGTGGTGTGCCTCGGTCCGGCGTTAAAGACCTTGGAGCCGCGGGCCCTGAGATTCCTCACAGAAGTGCAGCGTTCTGTTTCGCTTTGCGTCCGATCGACTTCGCATTGAGCTGCGGCTTGGGATCGTTCCATGGACTCCGTAGACCCCTGATTCCCGAAGCCCAGTGGGCCAAGTGGCCAAGGTTTCTGGACGTAGACGGTGTGCTTCATGCCTCGGCCGCTGGGCTGCTTCAGTGGTGCGGTGTTTGTCGGAGCTTTTTTTTGGTAGCGGTTTGCAGAGCGGCCAGGTGGAGGGATTTTGAGGGAATTGGAATGACTCCGCTCGGACGGAGGACGGCATCCAGCGCTTCAATGAGACCTCGATGCACGCGCTGCGCTGCCTGGCAGCCCGGCTGAGCAGAGAGAGCCTGGGAGGTCTCGGAAGATTTAGCTCGCTTAGCCGTGCTGCAGGAGTGCTCAGCTTAGAAGATGTTCTCTTGTCTCCTCCGAAGGCCAGGCTGACGAGGTGCAACGTGTCAGGTTGGGACGGAGGATCGGACGTGTGGTGCTTCGCAACCAAACTTCCCATGCTCTCGAACGACATGCTATCCTTTCCGAGACCACTTAATGATCCGAAGTTCAGACACCTAGAGCGTTGCCGAAGCAGGCAGAAAGCCTTGGTATCCCATTTAGCCAGACAGACCGTGAATCGTTGAAACAAGTCGGGGAAAGTTTCTGATTGTCCTCTCCATCTTCGGAACCCAGGTGCTAAGCTGCAACGCAACGGTGATTCTCAGCTCTGCCTGGTACCTCGACACGTTAGTCTCGCAGAAAGTGATATCGGCTTTCGGGCGGGAGTCAGGCAAGCTTTCTCCGCGTTTGTCGCAAGGTGTACGGCAGGATTGTGGCCGGTAGCAGCGGGTTCCAAATTGCCAAGATATGTGAGATGGTTCTAGCAAAATGCCCACGAGAAGAAGACTGCTCGGCCTGTGAGTAAGGCGCCGCTCTCCGCGCCAGCTGGCGCTAGCCGACAGCATGCTCCGGAGCCACGGCTTGGCAGGCCTTCTCTGGCCCAGATCCGCCCAGTCCCAGCCCCTCCAGCGCGACAGGGCATGTTGGCGAATGTGCTGCAGGCCTTGCCTTTCTACTCTCAAGTCCTTCAAGAGACTGACAGCAGCCTTTTCACCCTTTCACTTTCATGACTACATGCCTTGCAGCCGTTGCTGCCCTTCTTCCTCCTTCGATGGCAGAAAGCACCGAAATCCATATGGGCCCTGAGATGCGCAGGTGGGTCATGACCTGGCCACAGGCCAAGCGGAGTTTCAACAAGATGAGCGACTTTGACTTCGCGTTGGATCCAGGTTGCGAAACGTTGCCGGGCCCTGTGGACTGGCGCGCCGTTGCGGAGCAGGTTCGCAGCACTGCAGACTGCCTGATGGCACGGGAGGAAGGCTTGGGCGCGGAGGCTCTCCCACACGTAACGCCATGCCGGGAGCCGCTGCAAGCAAACGCTGAACAGATTGACACTTTCAGAGACGTTGACTCGCGGTATAGCTCCTGGAGGAACGATTGCTACTTGGGTTGGTTGAGCGTCTTCCTGTGTGACGTGGTGTGCACCCTGCATGAAGCAGTCGCAGGGAATTCAGTCAGCCATGAGAAATGGCCACAGAAGTGGAAAAAGACACAGCTGGAGCTCGAAGGCCTCTTTTTCTACGTGGAGGTGCCTTGGCCCAAACGCCCGAACCATCGTCTTGAATCTAACGGCCCCAGCAACGCCAATAACAACAACTACACTTCATGTGGGGCAAAGCTGAGGTTCCCTGGCACATCGTGGCCTCTCATCACTGGCCCCTGGCCAAACTTCTGGCGCGGCTTGCAGAGGTCCCTGCTTGTGTTTGTTTGTGTCTGCACTCTTGGGGCCGGGTGGCCAATGTGTCCCAGTTCCCAGCACGAGCAAGGCTCTGCAGATCGGGGAGGGCGGCGAAAGCAGGCAGATGAACCTTTGCGACCAGGCAGACGAGGCGAGGGATGATCTGGCGACAGGTTTCTGACACCATGTACAGGTCGTTCTCACATTCCGGCTCGGATTTAAGGTCCAAGTGAATCTGCAAGCTATTCCACTTAATCATTAGACTCATGAGATATTCTTCAGCTGACTTCGGCTTCGGTTTCAGGCTTGTTCGCAAAATCAACATGCTCTTTACAGATTTTCCAGCCCCTGCTTCGTTCTGCTCCTTGTTTTGGGGCTTAGGGATGTTTAGTGTTTGGGGGCTCACACCCAAAATCCGTTCCCAAACCAAAAAACCAAACAAACACACTGTTTGGACAATAGGGTATGTTCTTGCCTTTGCAATCCTTTGCAGGTTATAGACTGCTCCCCCTGCCGGATCACCTGTTTGCCACTCTCCCCGAAATTTGCACACCGCAGAATCTAGCGAATTAAAAACCGGCCTCCCTACTTCGATTTCCCAATCCTGCATTGCCCAAAATGGCAATTGCAAAACTCACCTCAGGAGCGAAATGGATTAGCATGAACAGACAATAATTGCGCTGAGGATTGAAATTGACGGTCATGCGCAATTAGCAAATAAGTCAGGCAAACATATCCAGGAATCCTTCCTCGCCCTCGGCCTAGCCACACCCATTACTGAGCCAGTCCTACCGTTCATCAGGTCATGGACGATGCTATGTACAGAGCCGGCCGGGTGTGGTGGCGGGACCATCCTACTGAAGATGCTGACACACCCTACTTGCCCCTCCACGTCGCCCAGGAATTCATTTCATCTGAGGTGCTTAAGCCGATGATGCAACCGTACCGCTGCACCTTCGGAGCCGCGGCGGCATTGCTGTCCGTCGTCGTTCTGGCTTTGAAAGCGAACTTGCTCGAAGGGCTACCTGACGGACCGACCGCGGGAAGATCCCCACAGGCCTTGCTGTCGGCGGAAGCAGAGGTGATAGTGAAGCTCTGGGAGGAGAGGTCGCATCAGTTTGTCTATGACCTGCTGACGAGCCATTGGCACATCCCGCAAATACTGGAGCAGATTGCAAGGTTGTGGCCGCAGCCGCAGTCGCCACCGAGCCGGCATCCCTGGAGACCCTTTTCGTCCCCCCGCCGAGTCCTCTTCCTCGGAGGCGGTGATACCACCTATCAGTGGGGGTCCTTCACCGTGCGTGGCAGGCAAATGGCCAGGGGATTCCGCAAGCACAACATCGATGCCAGGGCCTGGAACTGGCCTTGCAAGGAGTGGTGCAACATCGAGCATAGATGGAGTCCTACTAGCATCGTTCACGTGAAGTTTATGTGCTTGTGTGCGGTGAGTGCGTGGCCCCACGCGGTCCACATTTTTGATCCAGTGGATACCTTTGATGTGCTGAACAACGTAACAGAAATGGATGCGATCCTGGTGCAGACATCCCTGTGCAAGCGAGACTTGGAATTTCATCCAGCCCTGCGTCCCCTGCTCGCCTCTGGGCAGCTAGCAGTGCACTGGCTGCCACATCACCACGCAAACAAGCACAACCTGCTAATCGACGCATCCGCTGATGTCGCGCGGGTGGGTGTGCACACTATACACTCGGACATTGAGTTGCAGCAGAAAGTTGAGGAGTTCCTGGAAGAGTACTCTAGACAAGCTGGGATGTCGACCGTGCCCGAGTTCATCCACATGGATCCTACGAAGTTGTTTCTACATAACGACGGCAGGCTGACGACTCCGCAGCACACAGATGCCGTGTACCAACAGCTGACTACGCTGCAGATTGGCTTCGCTAAACAGTCGGGCTGTCGTTCTGAATGGTTTTTCTGTAGCAGGTGGAAGACTGGCCAGCGTCTCTTGCACCCTGAGTGCTTTTGCACATGTTTTTGTTTGTACCTTGTAAACCATGCGTTCGCGGAAGTCACGTTGAATCAGGAGTTTCTAGAAATGTCCAGAAGCAAGCAGCAAAGGAACATGATGAGTGTGGGGATGCCTAGCATCGTTTGGGGTGATGCGCAGGGTTATCTGGATGTGGTGGAAGGGCTCTGGCCCCCGGATGCGGAAGGAGATTCAGATGAAGGAAAGGCAGATGCCTATCCCAAGCAGCTGATCATCGGCTCGGATGCAGATGTCCCGGATGCTCTTGCGGCGTTGTTTAGTAATGCATCCTTGAGAATGGAGGCATCGCAGAAGGGCTTGAGGCTGGCTGAGCGGTTTAATTTGGACAGGATTGTGGACCACTTGGACGCAATCCTGCTAGCCGCAGAGATGCGCAAGTCTCATCAGACCGAAGACGAGCCATTCCAGAAAGATGAGGCTTCAGGGGTGTAATGTTGCCTGGTTCATGGGGCTCATGAGAGTCTCGCGATGGAGAAGGGGATCTTGAACGCCTTCGTGAATTCAGGGTTCCCGACAGCCTAAGCCTTCGAGTCTGCCTCCATGTCTCCTGGCCTTACGTTCCTTCCGAGCCGCAAGCCATATTGAAGTCGTCCCCGAAACAGACTTGCCGACAACGCCTGAAATCCAGGTTGTCTGTCCTCGTTGTACTGCTATCGTTTAAAGGAGTCGCTGAAGCTACAGCTGACCGTCAAGAGGGAAGCTGTCCGGAGCCAGAGTGTCACAATACCGATGCTCCAGGAGTGGCAGACTCTACTCCAGACTTGCGAGATCAGGGTCGGAGCAGGGAGGACGCCAGCCCGGGAACAACGCGTCTGGGGACTGTGCATCTGGTGCTCATAGTCCCGAGATGATGGCAGGACGAGATTCTTCTGTGGCTCAAACGGCACCCGGAGGTGCCCTGCAGTGGGAGGGAGACGTGCGTGTTTTGGAGCTCAATGCAGCCTTTGGGTCTGGTCTCGGATCTTTTCGGGCATCTTCCACTTTGCATGCCTTCTAAAACACAGGGTAGAAGACTCCGCACACATGCTACATGCCCACAGCCGAAGCTCAACCGAAGCGCTTCTTCAGTGCCCGCGTCTCACGGTCCGAGCACCTGAAATCTTCTCGCTTTTGACTTTCCTTACAAGTTGCTGGTTTTCTGGACATTCGGCGTACATCGCAGGTGAGACATTGGGTGGCGCTGGATGATTTGGATTTGGCGCCCATGAGCTCGCCCCACAGGCTAAGAAGCAGGGAAAGTAGCGGCAGCTTGGAGATGGAGTTTCAGTCAGAGACTTGTGCGACTCAGATTGGTTTCAAGCCTAAGCTGAGGAGTCGTAGTCTTGGAGTCTTGAGGGCTCTTGGCCCAGCTGTTACGCTCGACCTGAGCAGGCGGCTTATGATCCCCCACTTCGTGAAAACCGACCCGGAGCACCTCTGCTACAACAGCAAAGGTTTCGGCCATTGCTTTTTTTGGAGGGTCCTTGATGCCGCATGGGAACGCACGGCCCATGATCCGTTTCGGAATGTGAGCGTCGGGGCGCATGGGGGCTGAGCGTGACAATTTTTGCTGGTTTGACACTGTCCTGTGGAAGCCCCAAGTCGAAGCGTCGAAGCAGTCGAAGCCTGAAGGCACGGCTTGAAGGAGCCGGGTGTGGCCAAAGCACTGCGCCTGCTTCGAAACCCCCGCGGGTGTGTGGAGGACAGCGGAGATTGAACAGACTTTAAGTGTTTCGAGAGAGCGTTGGTTTGCGGCACGCGCGTCGAGGTCAAGGTTATGCTTGCAAAATGTGCTGCTCAAGTCGATGTGTTGCTGCAGGCTTGCAACCGGTTCTCTGTGTTGAGGTGCTCGGAACCCTGAGTGAAGCTGAGAAGTTGGGGATCAAAGATTTAGGGACTAGGCCGAGGGTTTCGGGATTCGGGTTTTGCAGTCTGCGATCTAGGATTTAGGGGGCGTGTGCCAAAGCCGGAGCCGTGCCACGGCGTGTCAGGGACTGGCGCGGTGACTTCGCAGCTTCGATCATGCAGGTTACCCCCGTGTAGCCCAAGCCCTGAACAGATCTAGTCAGTTGGCACCGGCAATGCGAGGAGTCACTTGCCAGAGCCCATGCCCAACGCACCTCTCGGGCGAAGCCGTTTCAGCTCTGCGCCTGACCAGGCCAGCAGCCCTCGATCTCAATAAGAGTAATGACATTTCATACTTCAGAATACTAGTAATTGAAGTATTCTTATACTCTATATATATATATATATATATACATATATATATACACACACATACAACATGTGTGTGAGAATGTGTAGTCGTACAACAGCCGGGCATAGTTGTTGGGAGACCGCTATTGCTATGCATGGCTAGTGTCATTTCTATCATCACGGTGGTGTCGATGCTTCTTCTCTGAGTTTGTATATCACATCGGGTATTTATTCTGTTTGACGATGATCATGGCATGATTTTGGTGAGGGATCAGGATGCAAGCTGCATTAGGGTGTCGGCGCACGTCTTCGTATGAGGTGAACGGTCTGCTTTTTTCTCTCATCAGTGCGTTATGTCATGATGCTCTAAATTGAATATTTCGAGTGAACCACCAAGCTCTTGAATGAACCAGGTGCCTGAATGAGATCCATTGAACTGCTAAGGCTGGACGGCCTGGAGCTCCCGGCTGTGATTGGCGCAAGTGTCAAGATCGACGGCTTATGATTCCAATGTCAGGGTTTGTGTAGTTTCGGACTGCAGAGCAAGGCCATAGGCGGGAAAACGGAAATCTTGTTGGTACATCTTCAGGCATCCATGGAACATTAGTGCTGCGTGGAGGCATAGATGCCGCCGTCCCCCTTGGGCTCCTTTTTCCTTGGCCCAGCCACGGTGGCCTAGGGGTGTGCGCCCTCCTCGCGAAGGCCTCTCAGAGGTTTGCGCCTGCTGTGCAACGAAAGAGCCTCAAGTGTGCACTTGCCCACTTTAGCCGTAGGCTTGAGCTCAAAGATCTGGTTGTGGAATATCCAAGCTTTGGAAGGGCGGAGACATCAAGTGGGTTTACAGGCGTGCACAGGGCAGCCCTAGAGCGCCATGCTGGATGGGACCCACAGGAATGCCCTAGGGGGGATCGTTGCTTCAATACACACTACCGTAGGGTTGGAGCTTCGGCTTCGGGCTTCCGAACTGAGGCAACGAGGTCCTGGGCCCTGGCCTCCAAATCCGAGTCGAGAATGGTTGAATTTGAGGGAAGGATGGTTCTGTGGGAGGGAGCCTTCAGCATTAAGAACAGAGATCTTGAAGGTGCCCTGCAGTGCAGTTCCCTCCACAGGCCATCCTTGCCTGCCCTCGGCAATTTGAGGGAGCAAAGGATGCTCTGAACCTGCAGATTTTGCGTGAGGCGCTTTGCGAAGTTCTGGAGCCTCGCCGATGACCGATGCCTGAAAGACAACCCTCGGGGTCTAGGCCTACGTAGGCGTTGTTGTGCCAGGTGCGGAACGTGAGCTACAACTGCATCACCATTGTGATAGCTGCTGTACCTATCACTCACCGGGTCACAGCGACAAGTATATGCAGCTGCAACGACGGCATCTACAAGCTTGCATGTAATTTCCGGTGAGCCTCATTGTAGTAGACCAGCAGGGATGCTACCGATGCAGGACCAACAGGAGTGAAATAAGTTTGAAGTTTTTGGTGTAGCTACAGTACGAAGTGAAGCAACCAGGAGTGAGCTTCGCGCCCAAGCAATAAAGAAAGGCTCCGATGATGGTTTTGAGTGTCATCTCCACATCGGTCAAGATCGCCTTGAGGATTCCAGAGGTGATTCCGTGCACGGTTTGGCGCCCTTGTCAACCCGACAGGCATGTAGTGGCAATAAAGAAAAGAGATCGAGCTCCTGCCTTTCAGCTGCGCCATGACAGGAGATTGATGTTCAGTGTCCAAAAGCGCGAACTATTATAGTGCCTAGCCCAAGCCGCTGCGATGGAGGCTGGCAGTCCGTGCAAGCCTTCTGCAGGCGGATGCCTGGAAGGAGAGCCAGGAGCTGGTGGCTGAAGTGCGGGCCTTGGGGCAAGTATGAGCTGGGCGAGGAGAAGGCGTGGGTATGGACAGAGCAAACCGGGAAAGAGCAGAGGTCTTGCAAGCCAGTGTGAAGGCCCAGTTTCGGAAGGCAAAGACGGGTAGTTTCACTAACCACGTGTACTAGATTGCACACCCGCGCACATACTTGTAATCTAGCTAGATTGTGTGTGTGTGTGTGAACGCACATATGGGCGAGTATACATGTATGTTTGTGTTTGTTCGTATGTATGCAACAACTCTTACATACCTGCCCTTACCTACTGCTATCTATCCATCTTTCTACCCACCTGGTTACATAGCTAGCTAGATACCATGCAATCATGCACACCTACATACGTACGTACCGCAGCATACACAAGAACATTGCATTGCGGAATGGTTGGTTGCACTGATGCTGCCTGCGCGCCTACAGCTTCTGCTGCAAGAATGTCATCCTTGTGTCTTGACGCTCGAGAAGCCAGGCGGCTGAAGATTCTAGGACGGGCCAGGCTTTTGACAATGCAAGCTCCCAAGCTCGAGAACTCTAGGCCTCTAGCCGCTTAGAGCCAGACAACAGACACCGATTGTCGGATGAACATTGCACGAAGAACGCCACCGAGCAGAGGCACACCAAGTGGCTCGGGCAAAGCTGTCGGAGGTCGGACCTTGGGACAATCTGGGCCTTGACATGTGCATTCCTGCGAACACACCGCTGTTCTAATAAAGAAGTCCTCTCCATCCTCCTCTTCATCATGCGCCATCTCACATGTATTCTCGTGCTTCTCATCCTCTTTCTCGCCATCCTCACTGTGGTCATCATGGACATCAGCTTCGTTAAGACCATTTGGATTGCTGACACTTGGGTTGTGAGTACAAGTATCAGGCCGAGCATTACGGCGAGGACGACACGGACCACCATCATCAACAGCAACAAATACAGCCCACAAGAAGGAGGATAAAGGACAAAACCAGTAACAATGAGACTAGCAAAACAGCACTACGGTCATCAGCTGCGACAACCAAAGGCAACAGCACCGGCAGTTGCAGTTGCAGCATTAGCAGCATTAGCAGCATTAGCAGCATTAGCAGCACTAGCATGAGCAGCAGTAGCAGCAGACACAGCAGCAGCAACATCAACAGAACCACGATGGAACTGCCGACCACACCATTGCTGAATATCAGCGTTGCATCCCACCTCCTCCTCCTCCTCCACTTCATGACCGTCCTCGGCTGTTACTCGTAATCGTTCTGGTGCCTCTGCTTATACTCCTACTAGTCCTACGACGAAGTTACCAATTGCTACTACTGCTACTGCTACTGCTACTACTACTCAGCTACTACTATACTACTTCTCCCTCCCGACGACTACTACTACTACTACTACCACTACTACCACTACTACTCCTGCTACTACTACTACTACTACTACTACTCCTGCTGCTGCTGCTGCTACTACTACTACTACTGCACTACTACTGCTACTACTTCGCCAACACCAACACCACTACAACTCCGTTGTGCTGGCAATTTAGAGCCGATGGTCAACTTCCAAACTTGGTAAATCTTGCCCATCTTGCCAAGCTTGCCCTTCGTGGTGGGGGGGTCAAGATAGTACACAATCTTGGTAATCTTGAAATGTTGGTCGTCCAGGGGTCTTGCAAGATTGCCGGTCAAGAAACTTGAAGGGAAGGGGGGGCTCATTGTATCCCTGTAATCGTGCACAGGGTTTGCGGTTTGGGAGTTGGTTTAGGGATTAGGGTTTAGGGTAGAGTTAAGGGCTAAGGGTTTAGATGTTTAGGGTTTAGGGTTTGCGATGGGGATAGCAAAAATGAGCAAGAACACAAGATTGTACGCGACCCCCTCCCCCCCTCCCCTATCGGAAGCACCACCAAGATGTGCAAGACTGTACGCCAATCTTCCGCCCCAGCCAATGCCGAGCAAGCTTGCCGACCGTGTTGACCGCCCCAAACAAAATCTTGAAAAGCAAAGATGGGCAAGATTGTACGCCAATCTTGCCCCAAGATCGGCTCTACATCCCCGGCACAGACGACCACTGCTACCACTGCTACCACTGCTACCACTGCTACCACTGCTACCACTGCTACCACTGCTACCACGGCCACCATTGCCACCATTGCCACCATTGCCACCACCGCCACTGCCACTGCGACTACGACTACCACTGCCACTACCACTGCCACTACCACTGCCAACACCACTGCCACTGCCACTACCTCTTCTACTCCGACGATGACGACGACTACTACTACCACCACGACGACGATGACTGCTACTACAACTAACCGCTGCTATTTCTAAGCTGGTAACTAGTAGCACTGCCACCACTACCAATACCGCTGCCAATGCCACTACAATTGCAAACACATTGCGACGACGACTACGCTGCTGCTACTGATCATGACCATCATGGTGGCGATGGTCACCAACAGCATGATCATCGTCTTAGCCACCCTCTCATACCAAGACCAGACGCACAGTCGCCATCATCATCGTCATGATTAGCATCATCGTCGTCAGCATTATCATCATAACCGTCGCCGTCATCGTTATTTCATCACCACCATCATCACCGTCTTCTGCTTCTCATTATCGTCATGGTTGGCATCGAGCATCCGCAGAGCAAGAAGAAGAAGAGGGAACTTTGGCCATTTGGTCAGCTTCAGCACGCGGCCTCGGAGGCCACGTCGGCCTCGGAGCGAGGGGCCGCCCAAGCGGCCGAACGGTCACGCAAAGCTCAGGAGCCGCCGCCTCGCCGCCTCGCGATTCTGTTGTGGGGAACAGGTTCCTTTGGGATGTTGCGCGGCCACAGAGACTTCCGGAAGCACGCCGACGAAAGGCGTCATGCAAGCTAACGGAAGGGATTTCCAGTCCGTCCCGAGGCTGTTGGAAGCGGAACGTGAGCGCACGCAGGCTGCGATTGAAGAGCCGGGCTCCCAGCATCCTGGAATCCTGGAGCCTCTGGTACTTGGGACATGAGCATCGCTCTCTTTGCACTCGTGATCCAGCATGCTAAATACCATATGCCGACATGCCGTCACACCCAGGCAGCTGGCAGCTGTCGCCTCAGCACAAAAGCAGGCAGAGGAGGCAAGTTGGTCTTCCCTGTTCTTTGCTGGGTGTTTCTTCCACCTAGCTTTCAACTTACCAGTTTCTGCCACCGTACAGGCGTCCGCTGCAGCAGAGGAAGCGGCGCGAGAAGCACAAGAACAAACCGTACCGTGGCATCAGCAGACTTGAAGGGTGCCTGTCTCGCCAGGTTATCTCTGGATGCTGAGTTCGAAGCAATTCTAGGGCGCAGTCCCCTACATTCAATTGAAGAAGACTTGAGGCAAAGCCCGACTATATGTCTGTATGTTCGAGGGGGAGACTCTAGAAATTGCCGGCGGTGAGTCTGAGGCCAGCGCGCTGAAGGACTCGTCGGAGCTCTACGCCGCTGCCAAAGGCTGGGGGCCAAGGGCCCTTGGGGCTCCTGTGAAGAGCGCAGCACCGGGCCTCGGAAAATGGCAGGCGAGGCCCTGAGCCGCACGGCGGCGGCACGTAGCCAGCAGCAGGAGACGGAGCCGGGCACCCGACGGGGACTGGGACGGGCAGGAGGAGGGGGACTGGCCAGAGCAGCAGCCTTTCTTGGAGCCGTCGGGGCAGACACAGAGACAAGCCAGCAGAGAGAACAGGTGCCCAGGGTGTGGTTTCATCTATTGTGTTTTGATTCTCGTCGCTTTTCTCTGCTCCCGGCATTGCAATTGCCACGGCTCATGTCTCGTGACTCGTCACCATCCACATGAAATTTCAGCACCCCAGACCCAGTTTCGTAGAAACCTCCACACTTGCAAACTGCAGCAGGCGAAAGCACCGAACCGGACCTCCGACTCAGGAAGCAAATTGCTGAAAACATCGCAAGCTTGCGGGCAGAGCATGCGCGGAAGGCAAGTGCTTGCTCACATCGAGCGTGACAGTTTCGGGGCATCATCGTACAAGCTCTCCATGTTGCATCTCCTTGTGAACAGTCACAAAGGCAGCACAGACCAGCGCCACAACAGGAACGGGAACTTGAACGGGCACCTGAGCACCTGGCAGGTTCTGGCTGCCACCCGGACGTGCGAGGAAGCAGCGCGCCGGCCTTGGAGAGAAAACGCCCTTGGCCCTTCTTGGCATTTCGCTTTGGCCTCTGTCAGCTGAGGCGAGATGCAAAGAAGCAGGTGGAAGCATTGCAGGCGAAGTTTCAGGCCAATCACAGGGAGATTGGCGCGAAGGCTGGAGACTGCGCATGGCACAGAAGCACCGGGAGGTCTCAGGTTCTTGTGAGGTCCTATAAGCCTATAAGTCCTGAGTCTGAAGACGTCTGAAGTGTCAGGTCAAGGACGCCGAGTGCCGGATGCATCGGGCGGAAAACGACCTTGAGGAGACGAAGAAGTGGTCGGAGCAGGTTCGTGCGAAGATGCAAGGACTGATGGAGGATTCTAAGCAGCAGCTTGTGGACCAAGAGAAGCTGAGCCGTGCGCAGTTTGAGGCCGAGGAAAGGGCGTCAGAGGAGCGGCTCGAGGCAGCACGGGTGCTGCGCCAAGAGAGCGAGGCCTTGGCCAAGGCGGCGGAGCAGGATGGCAAGGCACGTCGTGCTGCGGCAGAGGCCGCGGAGGAGCACGCGGCTTGGTCAGCCGAGCAGCGTCGTTCCGCCGCCGAGGCTGCCATGGCGGAGAGGGAGCTCGAAGCCTCTGCAGAGATCGAGGCAGCAGAGGTGGAAGCAGATGAGAATTTTGAGGCGTTGGGGGTGAAGGTGAGCCGTGCGTGGTCCACATGCAAGGAGCAGCAGCTCGTGGCAAGGCAGCAGGTGTCAGACGCAGAGGCCGTAGTTCGGGAGGAGGTGGCGCAGGTGAAGTCACGTCTGGAGAAGATGCGAGAGCTAGCGAAGGCTGCTGCAGCAGAGGCCCAGGGAGCCGCAGAGCGAAAGGCGGAAGCGAGCCGGCAGCTCCAAAGCATCGAATCTCGCACGGAAGCCGCACGGGCCGATCTGTCAGCAGCGGAGCGGAGCTTGGAGTGCTCGGTGATGCACTGCGAGGAGTTGGCGGTTTCGGCAGAGCTCTGTGCCCAGGAGCAGGTGGAGGCCTTTGCTGCGCTCTGCGAGCAGCGAGCCGAAGACGACGAGGACCATGCAGAAGCCGCAGAGCAGGTCGCGGAGGCCGAAGAGGAGCGGGCCATGGCGGCCGAGGAAGCTTCGGTCTTCGAGGATCTCAGCTTCCAAGGGCTTCTGGAGAGGGAGCGAAAGCTGATCCAAGACGAGATCGAGCGAGCCGTTCGAAGGACGATCGAGGTCGAGAGCGCCATAAAGGAGGCCGTCTCCTACAGTGAGAGGAGCACTCGGGAGCTTCTGAACTACATGGAGAAGGTAGAGCCGATCGAATCTTCGCCGTCGCAGATCACGGATCTCCTGGAGAACCACTGTTCTCAGTGCCATGCGGAGGCTGCCCCGGAAGCGGCCTTCTGCAAGAATTGTGGACACGCTCTGCAGCAGCATGTCATCTCAGACTCCGGGAGCCCCAGCTTGCGTGGAAAGAAGAGGCGCGCGGACAGCCACCTCACAGGCAGCCCCATGCAGCATTTGAGGAACATGGGCCCATCCAGGGGAAAGAAATCCTACAAGTGGTGAGCCACAAGAATTGCATTTGTTTGTGCACGCAGTGAGACTTCCAAGCGCATAGTAGTGACGGCATCTCTGTACAGCTTCTCATTCGTTGGTCCGCCGATGCGCTCCTAGAATTCGATCAAAATGAGCTGCGATTTCACTCGCGTTGGCCCAGGGTCTCTTGACGTTCAAGAACTTCATCTGCTTCGCCAGCTTGTCCTTCTTTTGCTATGAAACTTCGTTTAGTGTTTCCCGAGACTCTGGAGAAAGCACGCGCGAGTGTGCAGCGATGTGCATAGATGGCCTGGAGCTGCCAGCAACGTCGAGAGCCATAATACCTCACAACTCCTACCGCAAAGACCGGGCTAATCATGTGCTTGTGCAACATGTACACGCCCAAAGCCCACCACTTATCCGCGATCCAGCAGCCGAAATGCTAGCGCCAGTGCCATCCAGTGCCCCAAAGGCCAAGCGTGCCAGAGACAGGTGACAAGTCTCCCACATCCCGCATCTCGTTACCAGATCAGACCGAAAAGATCTGGAGGAGGCGTCTCAAGCGACAGCAGCCAGCCCTGACTTCAGTGTGGCTCTGTTTCAGTCGAAGAACCGGACATTCGCGCACCGCAGGGCCCAGGTTCAAGGCTTCCTGTCCCACCCCTAGGGAGTGGGCTCTGCCATGTCGCTGAAGCTTGGAGAGATTTGGGATCGGGGCTGCCGAGGTTCTGGGATTTGGGTCGAAACAGTCACGCGGAGTCTTGATGCTGGTGTGCTGCCAACTGCCGAGGAAGCTGCAGAAGCGGCTTGCCGCGTCCATCCTAGGATGCGGCAAGAACCGCGTGTGGCCGCGGCCTCGAGGGGGCCGCGCACGTCTTGCGGGAATTCTTTTCGTTGGTTTTGGTTTTAGCGACTTTAGTGCCTAGGCCCAGACATGCCCATGCCAAGGCTGGATCCCAACGAGACCAATGAGCTTTCCATGGCCAACTCGCGCTTCAACATCAGGCGTGCCTGTTCAAAGCAGTTGTGGACCTTGGGGAATTAGGCGAGTAGGCGAAGCAGAAGCAACTTCAGTGCGGGTCGTGTGCGCTGGGATGTTTGTGGCCTGTGCGAGGAAGATGATCAAGGATGGCCTGATCATCCGCAAGGCAGTGAAGATGCATTCGCGCTCCCGGGTGCGAAAGAATTTGGAGGCGAAGCGCAAGGGGCGACACACCGGCATCGGAAAGCGCAAGGGTACCCGTGAGGCACGAATGCCCACGAAGGTCTTGTGGATGCGCCGACAGCGTGTCCTTCGCCGTCTCCTCCGCAAGTACCGACAGCAGAAGAAGATCGACAAGCGAATCTACCACTACTTCTACCGCCACGCCAAGGGTAACTGCTACAAGAACAAGCGAGTGCTGATGGAGGCCATCCATGCCAAGAAGACAGAGAAGATGAAGGAGAAGGCCTTGCAGGAGCAGTCCGAGGCACGCAAGGAGAAGGCGCGCCTGGCCAAGGAGAAGAAGCTGTTGAAGCTTGCCTTGCAATAGACGGAAATCGTGCGGGAGAGTCGAGCAGAAGCAGCCGCAGCATCTGTCAGCCTTAGCAACGGCCCTTGCCGATTAGTATCAGAGCCCTTCAACCATGCCCCCGTTGCTGAGGAAGAAGACGGATGCAGCCCGAACAGAGGAGGATGCTGGCTGGCAGCAGGCTCCGCACATGCCACACAAATTCAGAGACGAAGTTCTGGGGTTTGTTCTTTCCCGTTACGTGCAGGCGAAGCAGGCCAAGAAGCGCTAGACAACTTGGTCTGGAGCCCGGAAAAGATTCAGGAAGAAATGTTGCTGCTTGTAAGTTGTTGGTAAGCACTCTTTGTCGATGTGTGTGGGTGAGTGTGCAATAAAGTGTAAACTTATTCTGTGCAATAAAGTGTAAATTTATTCTCTTTATAAGGGCCTGGAATTTGAGTCTGCACGAACTGTGATTTCTGTATCTTTCCGATAGGTCGAGGCCAGCAGCCACAAGCCCAAGTGCAAAGCAATAAACAATGACAACCGAGGCGGAGCGCCGCTGAATCGTTACACTGGACCTGACCACCGGCTGCGGAGATGCGACGTGAAAAGTGACGGGCATGATGACGTCCGGTCGAAGCACGGAACATAGCTTTGCCAGATGAAGCTCTTGCAGCAGATTGCTGCAGGGATTGTCTGCACACATGGGAATACCGCTCCGTTAATTATATGTCAATGTCCAACCATGCTGCACCTGCGACTCTGGTCGCTGGCTTCTGCGCCTGCAGTCACCACTAGTGAATGCTGCAGCCTGCCAGGGAAGTGCATCAGGCACTGGATGTACTGCTTGCTTAGTTCCCTTCAAGTTGCAGGCTCCCATCTCTCCTTCAGGCAGCCAGAATCGGGAAGGGTTTAGGATGTCGGAATTTAGGAACAATGAAACATGAAAGATCTGCTGCCGCTCGACATAGGAGGTTCTGGCTCTTTGTTCCCTCACCCTCTCCCTGCAACCGGGAGGGCCCTCCATCATGTCGCTGAAGCTCTGGCTGGTTTGGCAAGTTTGCTCATGTTTGGGATGCTCTGGCCTAGGTAAGATCGGTTTCAAGCGGCACAGCCGCACAGACAGACAGAGCACCTAAGGAAGCTGCAGAAGCGGCTTGCCGCGTCCATCCTAGGATGCGGCAAGAACCGCGTGTGGCCGCGGCCTCGGGGGGGCCGCGCACGTCTTGGGGGAATTCTTTTCGTTGGGTTTGGCTTTCGTGCCTAGGCCCAGACATGCCCATGCCAAGGCTGGATCCCAACGAGACCAATGAGCTTTCCATGGCCAACTCGCGCTTCAACATCAGGCGTACCTGTTCAAAGCAGTTGTGGACCTTGAGGGGATAGGCGAGTAGGCGAAGCAGAAGCAACTTCAGTGCGGGTCGTGTGCGCTGGGATGCTTGTGGCCTATGCGAGGAAGATGATCAAGGATGGCCTGATCATCCGCAAGGCAGTGAAGATGCATTCGCGCTCCCGGGTGCGAAAGAATTTGGAGGCGAAGCGCAAGGGGCGACACACCGGCATCGGAAAGCGCAAGGGTACCCGTGAGGCACGAATGCCCACGAAGGTCTTGTGGATGCGCCGACAGCGTGTCCTTCGCCGTCTCCTCCGCAAGTACCGACAGCAGAAGAAGATCGACAAGCGAATCTACCACTACTTCTACCGCCACGCCAAGGGTAACTGCTACAAGAACAAGCGAGTGCTGATGGAGGCCATCCATGCCAAGAAGACAGAGAAGATGAAGGAGAAGGCCTTGCAGGAGCAGTCCGAGGCACGCAAGGAGAAGGCGCGCCTGGCCAAGGAGAAGAAGCTGTTGAAGCTTGCCTTGCAATAGACGGAAATCGTGCGGGAGAGTCGAGCAGAAGCAGCCGCAGCATCTGTCAGCCTTAGCAACGGCCCTTGCCGATTAGTATCAGAGCCCTTCAACCATGCCCCCGTTGCTGAGGAAGAAGACGGATGCAGCCCGAACAGAGGAGGATGCTGGCTGGCAGCAGGCTCCGCACATGCCACACAAATTCAGAGACGAAGTTCTGGGGTTTGTTCTTTCCCGTTACGTGCAGGCGAAGCAGGCCAAGAAGCGCTAGACAACTTGGTCTGGAGCCCGGCAAGTTCTGGCATGCATTGAGCACACTGGCGCTTTTCTTTTTGCAGCCTAACCTCGCAGCCTGTTCGGTCATTATTCAAATATGTAATATATGTCTATATATTATATGTATATGTGATATATGTGCGTAATTATGCATATGTGTGTATATATACACAGTATACATATAGGTAGCTGGAGTCCCGGTAGCATACCTACAGGTGTAGATATAAAACATGCTCATATGTGGTTGTATACTTTTGGATTTATGTTTATCTTTCTGTTCATATTTACAGTGTTTATTCATAATTGTGTTTATGCACATATATATATATATATATATATATATATGTATATGTATATAATGTATACATATCACTACATCAGCAGATGATCAAGTCAGCGCCTCGCCAGCACTCTTCTGAGATCTGCGCATGTGCCAGACCATGTGTTTGTGTAGTGGTAGCCTCGCTTGTGCCCAGCTTGCAGGTGCGCTGTCTGGCCGTGAGCTGTACGGCGGAATCCGCAAGCTTGTATAGAAACAAACTCCATTCTTCTGTGTGTCATGCCGACGCAGAGGGCCCCATCGTCGAGGGTGGACATGCAACACCAAAGAGCAAGTCGCAAAAAGCTTGGCCGTGCCGGGACGTGCTTCAGACAATGCGGTTCATGCCATGCATGAAAAATCCTGTCACTGCATCGCACACACAGACACGCTCTCTCTCTCTCTCCCTTTCTGTCTCGCTCTGTCTCTCTCTCTCTCTCTCTCTCTCTCTCTTTGTCCCTCCCTTTCTCGATCCCCCCGTTCACCGGTCTAACATAGCTTAAAGGACTTGCCCCTCGCAGGGACCGTGGCTCTGGCCAGCTTGCTCCCAAGGAGGGGCCGGGGGCTTCCAGGATGTCGCTGAAGCTGCAGAAGCGGCTTGCCGCGTCCATCCTGGGATGCGGCAAGAACCGCGTGTGGCCGCGGCCTCGGCGGGGCCGCGCACGTCTTGCGGGAATTCTTTTCGTTGGTTTTGGCTTTAGCGACTTTAGTGCCTAGGCCCAGACATGCCCATGCCAAGGCTGGATCCCAACGAGACCAATGAGCTTTCCATGGCCAACTCGCGCTTCAACATCAGGCGTGCCTGTTCAAAGCAGTTGTGGACCTTGAGGGAACAGGCGAGTAGGCGAAGCAGAAGCAACTTCAGTGCGGGTCGTGTGCGCTGGGATTTTTGTGGCCTATGCGAGGAAGATGATCAAGGATGGCCTGATCATCCGCAAGGCAGTGAAGATGCATTCGCGCTCCCGGGTGCGAAAGAATTTGGAGGCGAAGCGCAAGGGGCGACACACCGGCATCGGAAAGCGCAAGGGTACCCGTGAGGCACGAATGCCCACGAAGGTCTTGTGGATGCGCCGACAGCGTGTCCTTCGCCGTCTCCTCCGCAAGTACCGACAGCAGAAGAAGATCGACAAGCGAATCTACCACTACTTCTACCGCCACGCCAAGGGTAACTGCTACAAGAACAAGCGAGTGCTGATGGAGGCCATCCATGCCAAGAAGACAGAGAAGATGAAGGAGAAGGCCTTGCAGGAGCAGTCCGAGGCACGCAAGGAGAAGGCGCGCCTGGCCAAGGAGAAGAAGCTGCTGAAGCTAGGTTGCACAATGCAGCATATGAGTTTTCGCGCGATGAATTGTCGAGATAGTTCCTAACAGTCAGTATTAGTTCCGTAGTACTTTTTTTTACTCCGCAGTGATGTCTCAAGGGCGCATGTCCTGAGAGGTTGCGCCGTGTGTTCTTGCTACTTGTATTGGTGTCGACAGCCAAGGAAAAAGACGGATGCTGCGAGGACGAGCTCTGTGTGTGAATGACACTGTAGGTGGACGTGTACCTCAGTTGCTCTGCTTTCAGATGCAATGCCGGCATGGACCGAAGCTTGAGTTCCGAACCCTGCACCTACAGATCATCTCGTTTCGGCAATGTCTCCTCGAGGGGTTGCACGCGACAATCTGAAGGAAGCTTTGGGGTTGAGGAGGCAGACGATAGATGCTACTTCATGATGCTGGCGACAGGGCACTGATCCTGCTTCGTCTGGGCTGTGGTGTTCTAAAGAAGCGAGCCGAGCTCGAATCAAGAGCAGATGTAGAGCAAACCGTCAAGAAGCCAATGTTGGTTTCACAGACGACCAGGAACCTGTTTCTGGCTAAATGGCTAAAACTTGTCTTGCGGTCTGTGGACTTGCTGCTGAACCTTGCCCCTGCCCTCTCGATGCGGAAGGACCGAGGAGGAGGGATGGCAACAGGCCAAGAAGCGATGAAACCAGGCCGTCACTGTCATTCTATCTTTAACATGCCTGGAACCTGAGCCGGTGGGCAATTCAGCGTTTTCTGTCTTGCTTGCTTCGGGCTTGCGGCGAAGACCAGGCTGTTCCATATCAGAGCACTGTGTAGCACATGGTCCTAGGAGTCCTACGTGCTAAGCCCCGCAACCACCAGGAACCACACCGGCCACCTTCACAGCGGAACGAGCGGGACAGAGCGATAGAAAAGCGAGCTTTTCACAGTCGGGGTGAGCTGCAGGGTTTTGGAGGTCAGGTTCGAATCACAATCATTGAGGATGAGTCGTTTCCGATCACAGGGGCAGAGTGCTGCCTGCTTATTGCAGGCTGCATTGAAATTATGATGTTTGATACGATTAGCTTCAGGGCGTTCACAGGTTGGAGCACTTCGTGTGCTGTTGGCCTGTAGCCTACTTGTTGGCTGGGCCATTGCAAGATGCTACGCTTTGAAGGGCCGGCTGTTGCTGTTGTTGAGCAGTGCATCGTCTTCCGCCGCTGCAAGCTGCAGATGTATGGACTCAGCACATACAAGGTAGCAGCATGCAGCAATTGGCAAGCAGGCAGTTAGAACGCAACATCCTTTCTGTCCATACCCATGTGGCCAAAGTGGCCCGCTCTTGGTTGTCCCACAACGATAACGCTGTGACAGTGGATGGACATGTTCCCAGCGAAACCAGGGATGGCATGCGAAGTTGGTGGATGTTGCTGCCACTTGCCTCAGGGACAGCCTGCGCTCACTGCACGGGCGTCAGGGCCGAGAACTTTCACTGCCAAGGTCGCTGTGTCTTCGCACAGAGGCCCAGATTCGGGCCAGCACCTTAGCTGGAAGAAGCCTGAGCAGTCTTTTCGCTTTTTCAGCACGAGGCCGCCCAGCAAGCATGCCGCGGTCAGGCGAACGGTTCCTTGCCATCGCCTCAACGAAGAGTTGCGAACATGAAGGGAGAACGACTGTTCAGCTTTCGGCTACTGTGCCCTTGCAGTTGGTGGGCACCGCAGAGGTGTCACTACTTGTGGCCCCGTTCCATCGCCAGCTCGGGCCCTCGTTCGTTGTGCTGCCGGCGGCGAGATCATCATTCCGACCCGTTCACGGCACAGGTTCGGGACAAGATGCTTCTGAGTCAAGAATCGTCACTTTCCTGAATTACTAGTCACCATCCCTCTCTCTCTCTCTCTCTCGAGATTCCTTGTTTTGCTTCTCTGTCTCGCTCAATACTCTCTCTACTCGGTCGACCCTCTCTCCTCTGCTCGCTGTGCTCTACTCTCACACACACTCCCCGCTCTCCTCTCTACTCTCTCTGCTCTCTCGACTCTCTCTCTCTCTACTCTGTCCACTCTCTCTATTCTGTCTACTCTCTCTGCTCTGTATACTCTCTCTACTCTGCTCTCTCGTCTCTGCTCTCGTTCCTCCCGCCTCCTCTCCAATTGCCTCCCTCCGCTCCTCTGTTCTGCTCTGTTCTGCTCTCGTCTGCTCTTGTCTGCTCAGTCAGCTCTGCTCTGCTGTGCTCTCTTGTCCCTCTCAGTCCCTCCCTCCCTCCCTGCCTCTCTCAATATAGCTGTCAGGCTGTCTTTATGAGTCTTTCTTTATGCGCTTGGACGGATGGATGGATGGCTGGGGGCGTGGGCGGGTGGGTGGGTGTATGCATACCGGCATGCGTTCCTGATGTACGTGTGTGTGTGTGTGTGTGTGTGTGTGTGTGTGTGTGTGTGTGTGGGCGAAACCTGCATTGTTACGGACAGAAGACATGAATGGGTGCCCATGTATGAATATTCTCTCTGTGTGCGTGTGTGTGTGTGTGTGTGTGTGTGCAACAGATGATCGCTAGCAAGCTATGTAGGTCGGTACATGTAGGTAGCCAGCGAGGTAGGTCGGTCGGTAGGTGATGACAGGTGCATGGGCCGCCCCTGAGCCGAGGCATGGGGGCACTGTTACCTCTTGGACGTATGGCGCGATGGCAGTGGCCGCAGCCTCGGTGACAAGCTGCTTCGTTAGAATAATCATATACACCTTCTGGATAAACTCAGACGGAGCCGCGTATCAGGCGGATTGTTCGACTTCGACGGACGACTGCGATCTTCCATGCTGGCGTGCACTTGCCTCAGTGCTCAACTCTTGCCTAGCTTTGACATCGTGTTGCATGAGTGTCGTCCCTGCCTTCGTGAGCTGTCTGGGTAGTGGCTTTGGTCGTGCTGGGATTTCGCACAGTGAGATCACAAAGTTTGGCCGTGAATGCAAGCGATAGGTCCTGGTAGGTCCATAGGCAGAACTTGTTGCGGCAAGCAGAGGTCTGGAGGACGACAAATTGACGGCTGACGAGCTGGCAGCGATGGGCTTCATGTTTTCTCGAGGAATCATGACAAGAACCACAGCAGATTCGCAGATGGTTCTCCAGATTCAAGTTTGAAGCTGCAGACAGGAGCAGACAACGAGAAGGATGAAACCTCGGCATCACGACTCACCCAAATTCTGGCATGGGCCGCTGGGTTGCGTTTGCAAGAACTCGCAGGTGAAAGTGGGTTATCAGAACTATGTCACCTTCAAGCTCTCATCCCTCTGACATCGTTTGTTGACTTTTCGGATGCTTTCCGCGTACCTGCACGACAACTTATCCTTGGCGTCAGGTCGTGGGTGGTGGTTGGCAAGTTCTCGCCGTCGTGTCATCGACACTATGCTGTTTGCTGGCG